GAGTGTGGTGGCGGTGGTGGTGGTGGTGTTGGCTGTGGAGCGTCTCTCTGTGTCTGAGCCGGACTGTCTCGAATCGGATCGCATAAACACCAGGACTTTCAGTTCATTAAAAAACATGCGGATCCGATACTTGAACATGTTTGGCTACATAGGAATCGGCCAGACTGACTCTGTTGTTGTTGTTATTATTATTATTATTATTATTATTATTGTTATTATTGTTCATGGACCGACGACTCTCTTCCTCATTGTAGTAAATTCAACCGTCGCTGTCCTATTAAAGGTGAATCCCGGGAATGAAAGGCTCTGTTTCCTCTGATGGCATGTGTGTGTGTGTGTGTGTGTGTGCGTTTTAAAGCCAATGCGGATGGAAGATTTTCCCTTTCGCCTGTGGCCGACACACTCCTTCAATATTCATTACTCAAACTACTCAGCTAAAGGCTGCCTCCGTGGATGCGTCTTCCATCACGTCTCGCCCTCAGATTACATTACAACTCGGATCACTGTTTGTGATTTCCACCGGCCATTTGCTTCGGTTGCCGCTCTTAAAGACACATTCCCTGTATAAAAACCATACACTGGGGTGGGGGGGCTTGCAGCAGGAGAGGAGGAGAAGACAGCCGCGGCTACATGGTTTTGCTACCCGAAGCAGAAGACAGCCAGAGAGTGGACGAGTGGAGGAGAGAGCAGTAAACAGCCTGGAAACACAGGACGGGATGTAAAAACCAACCGCATGCCATCCGTACAGTCACATCTCCAACTCTGGTCCAGAGTCATAATCGAAAAAACACAACGAAAGGAGATCAAATGGAAGTTGGACTCGGATGTGGTTGTTAATGTCTCTCAGTCCGTGGATTCACGGCCGTCAGATCATGGTCCTGTTGGTTTCATCTCCGTTCTGTGGAAAGCCAGCTCGCAGAATCCCAGCCATTGACCCGGGGAGCCCGAAAACCTTCAGCATCAGTGAGACGGTCTCTGTTCATTTGTCTCACTCAGAAGCCTCGCGTGGAGAAGAGAAAAGCGACACAAAAACAGCCGGAAAGCTCCATGTTCCCTGCCGTCGTCGCTCGACTTCCATCAGCAGTTGGCTGGACAGAGGTGTCAGAGGGACACGGTGCTGCTGGAGCTGCCCGGGATTTTTTTCTTTCTTTTTTCTTTCTTTTTTTTTTTTTAATTGCTCAGAAAGAGAGACACGAAGACCTGACAGCCGAGGACAACCGTGGGATCAGACGTGTCTTTCCTCAGATAGATGGTGGAGCGGCCGATGACACCGAGGCTGGCGATGATTTTCGTTTCTCCTCGAAATGGTCGGCTTGGAGATGGAACCAACGCAAGAGCTACTTCCGGAATGAAGAGGGGAGGGGGGTGAGATAGAGAGAGAAAGAGGGAGAGAGAGAGAGAGAGAGAGAGGGAGAGAGAGAGAGACAAGGGAAAAAAACAAATCCTGTGTGTCATCCAGTAAACAGGCAGGACGGTCTGTTCCTCCAGTCATCTGTCGGTTACCGGTTGATGATGATGCTGTTGGTGATGATGATGAAGATGATGTGAGGCAGCAGCAGCAGCAGCAGCAGCGCTGTCAAAGGTGCTGATCCACCTCTGCTGACACTCAGTACAGTTTGGACCTGGGGTCTGGGGTATTGGTCATCTGATCAATACAATTTGGGTCAATATTAATAATACATTTCGAACCGTGACCAGAATCCTAAAATGTGTAGAAGATTTTTTTTCTCATTTTTTTCTCATCATTATTACACCTGACAGAGTAAAATAAATACTTGTATTTCTGAGTACATCTGGTCCTCACCTTCTTTCTCAGTTTCACACACCTGATTTTTCTTGCTATTATTATTATTTAAAAGCTCTTGGGAGAGTCAGGTGGGGGAGGGGCACAGCAGTAACGCCAACACGCCCTCCCCCAACTCCACCCCCACAAACCCCCTGGGGATCAATAAGGCATGTGCTCTTGCACTTTTATGTTGGCCGTGCTGCTGCTGCATGATGGATAAATATATTTGAAGTTGGAGAACCACTGCTGTGGAACATATCCAGGTCTAGATCAATGATTCCCAACCACTGTGCCGTGGCACACTAGTGGGCCGTGGAAAATTATACAATGTCACTTAATTGAGCTAAAAACGTAATTATTTATTTCTTGCGTATCATTTTTTTTAAGGCAGAACAATTAAATCCTCTTCTGCTAGGTGGCAGCAGATGGCTATTATAACTTAAAAAAAGATGATGAAGATCTTTGTGTCTTTCTTCAATTCCTGCCAGTATATCAGTGTTGTCTTCAACTAAACAGGCCTGGATTTTAGTCAATTATGAGGTCATTTAAACTAGAAGATTTTTATATTTCATTACGTATATTTTTTTGTTGCCGTGCTGTTTTTCCTGATGATATATATGTGCTGTGGCTCAAAAAAGGTTGAGAAACACTGGTCTGGATCACCAAAGACAAAGTCGAACACGAGTGGATGGATACCTCAGCCTGCTGCTACCTTTCTCCTCCAGGTTATCACCTATATTATGACACCCTGAGATAGAGAAGGTAGAGAGAGACGGCAGTTCAAATGTCCAAATCACCTACAGAATTCCCCCAATAAAGTTTGTCCAAACAGCCAGAGCTGAGAGTGATGCAGTGAGCAGCAGAGGGAAGTGTGGCCGGGCCGTTTGTCACTACTGCCAGACAGAGTAATTAAGAAAACATCAGAGGCAGAGGTGCAGGGGTCACTTTAATCTGCAGTTTACAGAGATGTGGCCGTCTTTACTGCGTCTCTGTCCAACACTCTTACTTTCACACGCTCAGCGTTCTGCTCCATAGCAACACTTCCCACAAACTCCCCTGTCACACTGATGTGGATTGATTTTTCACACTGTGCCTGTTACAGATATGGATTTATTTTAAGCATAACAGTCGATTTGTGACGCATCGGCCATCACCCCATTATTCTCGTGCACATTTTGCACAGTACTGGACTACAGTTGGATCAGTGACCAACCAGCGGTGGTGTAGCTTTGGTTTAATTGATCATTTATAAACACTTAAATTATACAAATAATAAAAAACTAAATTGCAGCACACCTATAGAAGGAAACACAAATTAATTAAGTTATTACTTCTTCAACACACATTCCTTTAATATATAGGACTGCAGTGATGGTGTGTGTGCGTGTAATGTAGGATTACACAGAGTTGGCATGTTGTGTGGGAGCGTTCATTTTAATGATGATGCTCCGTGGGGGGAGGGGAGGTGATAAATGCTAATGAGGTGAACAGTTTATAATAATGGTCTGTGTGTACTGGTGTTGCCAACCGAAGGACAAAAGCTGCGGGTTTTTCGTTCAGTTTTATAAGATGAACATTTCATGCCTGCTCACCAGGAAGTCACATTTATGTTTAATGTAGTGTAAACCTGAACGTCTCGTTATTCTGCCTTCAGTTTCTCCAAAACAGTTCCTTGAAAACATCTTTCTTCACCGCTGTTTCGACAAAATACGGGTATTGTTGCCGTGCTTCAAGGAGCCGTTCACAACAAACTGATAGTACTATCAGATTTAGTCTTTATATCCATACAAAACGGTGTACGCTAAAGGTTCCCAAAACATATAACAAATCTCAGAAAATTTAGAATCAAAACAAGAACTACACATCTAGTCTACACTAGCCTGTCCTCTGTACCTCTGTAAGTGCTCACAATATCATTACCAATACTATGAAACATGAAGTACTGCCTGTTGTGTGTGAAGGGGTTCGCTGGACATAAGTGTACCACTGCTGTAATGCTTAAACAATAACAAGCCTCCAGACACTAGGTGGCAGCAACTCATACAGAGGTTTGTACAGATAAAAATGTACATGTTATCAGGTTCTCAATAGTATTTCAATTTGCGGGGGTGTGGATGGGGGTGGTCCCTGCTCAAGCCCTCCACCAGTTTAGAATGAATCCTGTGAATTTTACCAGGACTTGATTAGGACAACGAACAGTTCAATAACCCTTCATTTTTTCTGCACCCACCAACAATCATAGGCAATTATTAAAATGATGAAGAAGAAATCAATCAGGGAATGGTTTGAATATGACCCTGAGACACTGGGAGGATACCAACACACACACACACACACACAGACAGACAGCGGCGGGTTTTCAAATTAAAATTGAATTATTCATGAAGGGATCACTTTAGACCTGAACTGTCTGAACAGACCTCTGTAGCACCGGGGCTGCCCTTCTATCTGAGGACGAACAACATGCATCTCTGCTCTGTTTCATTATTGATAGGCCATATTGACCTGTTTGTCTTCCCTCACTGATGAGAATGATTTGCCTTCCTGTTCGTCCTCCAGGAGCTGCGAGAAGAAGCCCCATCCACGAGCAGAGCCATTAAAACCACACAGCTTGATCCTGTGTCAGTGGAAACTCGCCGTATTGATACATCAGGCAGCTGAACATGCCAAGAGTCTTTTCACTACGACCCACAGGAAATTCCTGGTTCTCCAGGCAGCCCTGTGTTTAATGTTTTTTTTTCAGGTACACCCAGTTACACCGATGGTCACACTGAGTGACGTCAGCGTCATGAAACTTTGGTGAACAGTAATGGAAGACAGGACAGCAATGTTTGTTTGATTAACAGAAGTTTTTTTTTTGATAGCAGCTTGGATAAAACCATGGTTTTTATTTTTAGTTTATGAATATGCTATAATTTCTCCTTCCATTTTTTATTCTCCACAAATTAAATATCTTTAAATACACATTACCATCCTGTAAGTATTACACGCCAAATTATGAAACCCAAGGCATCTGCCCAGTTTAATATAAACCAGTGGTTCTAAAACTGTGGTACGTGTACCACTGGTGGTACACCAGCGCTTTCTAGTGGTATGTGGGGAATATTCACATTTTTACATTTACATTTTAACTGAATAAATCTGAAACATACCATGCACAATTAATATAACATTTAAACATAAACATCTTTATAAACATCTCCCCCGTGTGGTGGAAGCTAACAGTGAAGGCCTACGCTGCTATATTCTATCGTTGGTCATCATGGTGGTACTCAGAGAGATCAATGTTTTCTCAGGTGGTACAGAGTAGAAAAGGTTAGAGATCCACTGATTTAAACCATAATTATAAACAATATACTGCTCCAGTTCTCTGGGTGTGAAAAGGTCCCTGCTGTAAAGCCGTACAGTCAGAATTAGAGCTGCATATATACACTACACTAAAAGCCAGTTTTGACAGAAGACTGATATAATGGACCAAATGTTTTTACATCCTCTCTCTCCTCGTACTCACAGAACTCATGCTATATCTGTATTAGCACAGATGGCCGTCCCTGTGAGTGCCATTCCTCAAAGCTTCTGTGAACCAATACAGCGGGCATATGGACAAGCATCACAGGGAGGGGACTGGCACCGGGCCCTCAGAAGAGCATGCTGACAGGACACGGGTCGGGGACGTATGGCGCGCTTTCCGAAAGGTGTTGGTCATTGGCCACCGGATAGACTCAAGACCCAAAGCCCTGACCGGGCACTTTACACCCACATCCATGTTCCTGCATCGTAGGAACATGAAGCTGCAGGCGCTCCCTGGTGTGATGTAACTGAGGACCAAGATTAGGTCATACCTTTGGTGAAGCCCAGAGGGCAGCAGTGAAGGCAACAAGTACGACACCTGTCATAAAGATGATTGGACGACCTCAGAGGAAAGGAATCAAGATCATTTCCTTGTGTTTTCTCATTATTTTCCTAACAGAGAGTACTTGAGCTCTCCTTCTGCTCCCCACCCAAAGCCTTGCATTATTGGATTCCATCCCATCCCAGGGATTAGCGCGCTTTTGAAGGAATATCACAGGGGAATCGACACCTCAGAGTTGAGTAGATTAATTTCACAGCAGCCTCGTTCATGTGGTGCACGTTCTAACTCGGATAAGATTCTTCTGTATAAGAGTAGTTACAGAAGAAGCTGGGTGTGTAAATGAATCCCATGTTTCGAGGTGTTAACTCAGCAGGGATGAAAGTACAAGGCGCGGTGGTAGGGGAAAAAAAGCAATTGCAGACGCTGCAGTGCCATCATGTGGCCAAAGGGACAAAGGATTTCTGGAGAAACACTGAACACATCCGGCGCATATTGTGTCACGTTACAGGTAAAAAAATAAATACAAATAAAAATGCCGATAGTTAAAAAGTAACTAAGTGTCTTTCCAAATAGTTCCTGTTGAACATTTCTGGTTAACGCTACGTTAATTCATCTAAAATTGCAAAACAAACTGTTGCACATTCTATAATATAGTTCGAACTTTAGCAGGTAAAAGCAAAAACATGAATTTAGTTTTATTTGTAACAACTGCCAAAGTAGTTTAAAGGCTATATTAAGCTTACAATAGGTCACATTTCCCTCAGATACTTTTGAACAAAAATCTTTGGCTAAAAGCTAGCAAGACGTAGCAGACGCCGTCAGTTAGCTCGAACCTCAATAAGAATAAAATTAAAAAAGAAAAGAAAAAAAAAAACCAAAATGATATTCTACACCCAGGGCTCTAGGAGGGAGAACTTGTTGACAGTTTACATACTATATATATAGTACTCAGTAACTACATGTGTTTAATACAATAATTAATAGCTATATACTATATATATATAGTACTCAGTAACTACATATGTGTTTAATACAATAATTAATAGCTATTACGGTGTTATACGTATATAACTGATGTCTCTCCATCCATCTGTCCAAGTTAATGCATACAGACCAACGAAATGACATAATTTCCAATTTGAGATTTTATTATTTGGAAAATTAAGTCTCAAAAGTTCATGATACATGTGACTAACAAGTGCACACAATTTAAGATGCGGTGTAATATTTGGGATTATGCTCAATGTATGACATGTGTCAAAGTTCTTGTTTTACACCAGTGATAACTCCAAACCAGCAGCAGGAAAACCATATCAGCCACGACAGGTAGGTTCAAGTAAGAAGTGAATAATTACAGTTGGTGTTAGTCTTTTAAGTTAAACACAATTCAAAAGAGAAAATCATGAAGGAGCAGAAATTCATCAACATGAAAAAAAAAAAAAAAGAAAATCACGCATTTGGGCAAGGCATTAAAAAAATACATCAAAAGTACAACATAAACTAAACCTAATGTCAAACATCAAACTTCATTTAAATACATCCTGAAAATATTTAAGTAGTCTTTACAAAGCATTTAACACTGATAAACAAAAAGAGCCAATGGCAACAGAGAACACAATCATGCGCAATTAAAGTCAAACCAAAACACCTTTTCTTGTTTTTTTCCCCCCCATTGTAGCATAGTAAAATAGCAAAGAAATATTGCAACAAAGAGAATCTTTTTCCACTATAAAAACAACTGTATTTACAACCTAGAGGTTTGAGTCAAAGCCACTAAATCATCTCAGATCTAACAGCACTTTCCTTTTTTTCCATGATCCAGTTAAACAGGGGAAATGATGCGTACCTGACTTTGTTTTTTCTTCCTACGACCAGAATCTATTCTAATTAATAACACTGTGGGACACAAAGCAATATATCAGACACAGGACGGAATGAGTTATCTGTGGCCGTCAGCGACCATGCAGCCAGACCTCAGAAGCGTAGAGACGGAGGGGAACGAGGATCAGCCACTGGGAGGGAATGACGTTATTTTAGTTTGAGTTTGTACAATAACCAGGCTGCAGTCTGTTGGCGTCGCTAAAACCTGACCGTTAAAAACTAACTGGCTCAGTTACAGTTCACACATGACTAGCTATTACATCACCTGAAGTATATTCTTACACTATTAAAACTCAGCATCTGGAAACAAAGACACAAACATGAAAGTTTAAAAAAACCAAAAACAACCTACGTCACCTCACACATTCAGTGGACTCCTCCTGCCCTTCCTCATTCAGCCCACCTTCTCTGCGATCGCTCTAAATATGTTCTACATGTCACGGAAACAGCACCGAGCGGAGGAACAAACTGTACGTGCTGATACGTGGCCGCATGAGAGACGGGGGAGGGAAATTTCAAGGTGCAAGTTTCTCCGCGGACAACAGACTTGGTTGGTTGGTTGGTGTGTGTGTGTGTGTGTGTGTGTGTAATTAAAAAAAAAAAAATCAATGACGGGCTGCTGGACTATCCAGGCCTACGACACATGCAGAGCTACTTCTTACGTAACTGGAACCGTGCAGGCAGGAAAAAGCGGTACTCAAATCAAGGCTGGGTCACAACGCCAACGAGCGGCACGTTTGTCTGACAAGTCATCCCTTCATACTTAAGTATCCGAGTCTTCCAGCTTCAGCTGTGGCAGGAAACAAAATCTGGACACGTTGACAAGATGGTGAAGTTTCTCATTCTGTAATTCAAGAGTGTTTGCTGTGTATCTGTGTGTATCTGTGTGTGTGTCAGGTGAACATCTAAATTGTTGTGGTTTGTGTTTGGCTCCACGTCATATGCCTGAGTGTCTGCCTACAAATGCACACTACTCTGTGTTTGCCACTGAGCCTGGGAACCTATCGCTGGCACGACACGGCATATGTGGGACAGACTATAGGAAAGCGCTGGGGTTCGCTCGAGGGTCCTTCTGGTTTCTGTAGCGCACGGCGAGCCACACTCCGAGAATCTAAAAAAGGAAGAAAAAAAAGATAACACAGGTTGGACAAGTTTGACTTTAAACCAGGAAGTGGTTGCTGAGCTTGGTGGCTGCTCCCATTAGATGAAAGAATAAACGCTTAATTACTGTTGCCTCTCCAGTTTGTACTGTTTGCACCAGGTGGTTTCGGACATTGTCTCTAGTTAAGGCTTGTGAGTGAAACTTAAAAAGTTCTCACGTTTAAACTGATTTGAATCCTAATCCTCCTTACAAACAAGAAAAAATATATTCATGTCTGTTTAAATATAAAAGTACTGGTCAAGGAATACAGTGTTTAAATGTAATTAATCAAAAACCATGCACTGAATAGCTCTGGAAAATTATATAACTAATTAAAAAGCAGTGTATTACACTCCTTTAATTAAAAAAAAGTACTGCATGTTCTAAGCTTGCAGAACCAGCTCAGAGTTGACTGAAGGACGGCTGCATGTGGCCCAGGGTCATTACTTGGACGTCCTTGAGTCCAACTTGTCATAAATGTTAGCACCCACCTCTGTGAAGCTGAAGAAGAGCCCAACACCTCCGAGGATCTTCAACACCTCTGTGGCATGATTCAGCATTATGTCCCCGCAGGCGAAACAGGAGCCGCTCTTTTTGCATATCTGGGTTGACGAAAGCAGAGCTGTTTTTGGACTGAACTTTGACACTGGACTACAATGAGTTCTGTGGGTTTTGGAGGAACTCCAACAACAAAGTAAACAATGCCGAGCTCTAGAACTGAAGTCCAACCCTCAAACCGCAGGAGGTTTAACACCACGGACACCAAGTCACAGCAATTTATGAATCTGTGGCCTTCATGGTCAGGTGTCTGCAGCTGGGAGTCATCTCATGTACCGCTTCAAAACGTGTTATTATGTGAATAAATTCTCTTAGTAGATACTGTGCAAATCTGCAATAAATATCTAAGAAATACAAAGAAATAATAAATCTTAACCATTATATACAAACATATATTTAAATGGTCTTGCTTTTCTGTATTTGCGCAGCAGTGTGTAAAGCTTGCTTATTGCTCTTATATTTACAATACTAATTTACCCCTGACTTATCACAGGAAGATGTGCTTATACTTTAACAGCACTCTGTGCTGAGGTTAAAATGTACTCTAAAAATGAGTCTGTTTTCCCTGACGGCTGAAATTAGGATAAAAGTGAAATGTGATACTTACAGCTGGACAGTCGCGCAGGTCCTGTTCAAACTGAGCCTGTTTGCTGGTCACATTGAGCAGCCCGCAGCAGTTCAGCTGCACCTCCAGGTCTGTCTTGGTCTTGTTGTTTAACACTCTCCATGTTCCACTTAAAAGGGTCTCCTGAAAAAGACGGGTTGTCAGTAAACACCACACACGGGACACATCTGTGACTTCATCTACGGTTGTTATGGTCTGCTCACCTGCTGTCCACGGTTCATTGCCAAACAGGAACAGGAAATTCCAAATTGGAAGAGGAAAACAATGAAGAGAATGACCATGTACTGGGAGCAAGAGGTCAAAGAACAGACCGACCATGGAGGGCAAGACAACAGAGCTACAAATCACTGTAAAAAAATACCACAGCTGCATTTAAAAAAAAAAAAAAACAGTAAAAAGGATACGAAGAACAGCATCACTTGGTGGTGGTGAATTGCCCCGACGAGTCCCACAATGGCGATGAGTAGCAGGAACACGCCCACCGCGATGCCGCCTCCGATGATGTGGATGCTCGACACCAAGCCGAAACCTTTGCCCCATGCTGCTACACCGATTAGCAGCAGGCCCACCAGCTGTTAGCAGAGGGAGCGAGGTTAACCAGAGTCAGCTGAGTCTGTGTGCAACTGATCCAATGTGGTTAACTGCTCTATCACTTATCAGTATTATAGAGAGTTCTTTGTTTAGAAACAAAAAAAGAACAGTATTGTAGGCCTGAGTGTTCAGGAATGAACAGCAGGTAGGACAGAGTCGGCTACTAATACACCACAGGTCCACGAGTCAATGGGACGATTCATAGAACCATGAGGATGTTTGAATATTTAGATTTCAAACCAATTCTTAGTGCATATAAAATGTACCCAGTGGTTAATCACAGGATAACAGGCTGAGAAAGTACTGTCCATTCTAAGTCAAGTGGAACAACTTGTGGCTGGAGATTTTTTTACCATTGAATTTACCATCTGAAGTCACAAATACAAAAAAACTGTTAAATGTCAAATGTTCTGCAGGATAAAAACAAAAACCAGTTTCTTTGATAATTTTCTTTCTTTCTTTTCCTGTTTCAATTTTACTTTCTATGGGTTTTTACAGCCACTGACGTTTCCTGAGTCACATGACTTCAACCTAATGGTTTCATATTTGTAAGCATGTGCAAGTATTTCCTGTCCCACTGATTGCAAAAGAAAAAGGTGAAAAGAAAAAACAAACATGGCATCACTAGAGAAAAATCAACTAAATGAAATAAAATGATCACTTTTGTCTTGTTGGTTTACCAGTTTACTTTATATCTAAGGTGAAGAGTGAGAAGCACCACAGAAGAGCAACATTGTCCCACGTGACTTTTCTCATGCCTATAACTCCTTGAGTCAGCAAATGTCACAGTATTAGTAACAAAACTGCGTGTGGCACATTTCTCGTTCTGACTGATTCTCGTCATGTGTCAGACAGCAGTGAGTCATCCGGAGCCGAGGAACAGCTAAACCACCATGTCGTTCACTAGCACATTTTCTAATAGAACATTGATCATAAACAGTTTTTACATGTTATTCAGGTCACAATGTAGAAATTGTCATGTTCATTTAAAAAAATCTACAGGCCTAATATAATATAATATATTTTTAATAACATTGGAGCAATGTAAGGACTTGGATGGAATAAAACAACCTGGGAATAACTGCAAATATACTCAAGGTTTATCAGGTAAACCTGGGAACTCCCTTGAGCGTTACAAACTAAATAAATAAACCTCTCCTGTTGAAGAGAGCAAATTGATTCCTCCTCTTTGTTGGTAGAAACAGAGTACTATCATCTCTATCTAAAACTCCTGGGGAGCTATATGTATAAATAATAAATGTGCATAAACGCAATTTCAAGGAGCATCAAGTGTAAAGAACCAAAAGTCAACAGTTTACATTTGAGAGTGCATCTCTGCCGTTTGAATAGTATATGTGTAGTTATAGGAGACTAAGGTTAAAGCCGTCGTCTGAATGTTTATTCGTCTTCGGGAACTCAACTTTGCTGGTATGATTCAGTAGTGTGTTTCATGCCTGTGGCTTTAGTGATGGATGCAGACCTCATAGAGCAAGCAAGTGCAACAAGTTCTCCTACCAATCTCAGTCTGCATTAAAGCCTCACCCTGAACACACAAGGAAGCAATTTCATTTAATAATAATTTGACTGGTGCTTTCTTTTTGGAGAAACTGTGAGCCTCTGATGAACGCAAGAACCCCGGTTCCAAAGAAAAATGAGCACAGCACGAAGTCATTGGCAGCGCGTGGCATTTTACCAACTGATACATGTCAGCAGATTCTATGTAGGGTTTCAAATGACAACCTAAAGTTGTTTCAACAACAAAAAAAAAGAATTAAACATATTACATAGATAATAAGTAAGTACCTTTGTAAATAGACCATACATATAAAATGTCTAAGAGACTGCTTTGGTTATTTCTAGATTGACTTTAAACCTGATTACTATGACAATCACCACTTACTAATTAAGCGTAATACTTAACAATAAAGTGTCCTATCTTGGGTCTAGGCCAAGTTGTTTACAAAAAACCCCCATAATATGCTACCTACTATAATAAAATACCTGTTTTCAATCATATATTTTATAAGAACATAATTGCTATAAGGACCGAAAGAGCTTTTCTTTGGTGGCTATGTCCTGTTAATATGTACAGTCCCTCTGTAAATGTAAATAAGACCTGATGATTTTGCTCCTCTGGGACCAATTACACAGTTGCCAAAAATATGGAAACTGTTATTATGGTCTTTAGGTTTATGCCTCATTTTATATTTTGATAGACCATATGAGCAGAAAAGTATTTGGGAAACAATCACGTGACTTGTCAACAATTGAAAATGACATTGCAGCAAACATAAATTTGCTTTGATTTAAATAGTAAACTCTTACATTGCAGCAAACATAAATCTTTATTTGCTTTGATTTAAATAGTAAACTCTTCACAATGTTTACATGATAAAATACTGAGAGTGTAAAGTTCTTGGACTATAACTTATCATAATGGCCTGTGAGCGAGGCTTCATATTAACTCAAACAAAAACAGGATATAATATCATGTGGTGTGCGCGCTGATGTTGTCTTCGACACGTCACGTTGTAGTCATCTGGTCTCACGGTTAACGGGAACGTATCATTATGGCAAAGCTAAAAAGCTAACGCGCTAATACACTGCGATATTCTGTACACTACAGCCTAAACTATAACTATTGAACGGCATTTATGTACTTTGTAATAATTAAACAATAATACATACCGATATTCACCAGTGGAGACAGACAGAGGCATGCGAATTAAAAATGTGATATCATCATCAAGATTTCATGTTAGCCATAGCTAAGCAGGCTAACTCAACGCTAGCATAATGGCCCATTTTCTTCACTCACCATATAAACCACGTTCAGCGAACAAAGAGCATTTCTGGAGCAAGTGAATCCGCCACACACCATATTCGACTGATCCTCTGTGGACCGCTTCAGCCTTCACGGACTAAAACTTTGATCTGATTTTCGAATAAATGGCAACAGCCAACGTTATCTGACTCTGAGCAGAGACAACTGACCTCACTCAGGTGTTGTTGCTCAGCACAGAGGGTGTGACGGTTGACGTCAACGCAACGTCTGACATCATGACGCCGGAAACGTCATCGGTCGAAGGGTAGACATTCTCGACCAATTGTAGAGCAGAACGATAAAATGTGGGAGCGTGTACATAAACTATCAAAATTCAATTTTTTAAAAGACAATTAAATTATTATTTTTTATTCTAATATTAATAGGATTAATTTCACTTTGATCACACGACTCAAACTTTAGAATTCTTAGAATCAAGTCGGAATTCTGACATTAATTTTATGACTTTAATCTGAATTTTTAATGACAGAATTCTAGAATTTAAGCCAAATTCCTCACAATTTTAATTTAATAAATTAAAAAATAAGGCATAGAATTTTGTTAGTAGTTAAATTTTATACGATTTAAATTCACATTCCTTAAAATCAAAGCATCATGTGAATTAAGTCAGATTTGGATTTTAAGGTCACCTTTTAAAAAAATATTTTTTAAAAACAGCATCCTGTTTATTTAAAAGGTCAATTAAGTTATATGAAGTTTTGGATGTATTTTCTCTATACATTTACACAATTTATTTGTTGGTTATCTTAAAATCAGAATGACAAATAAAGCTTCATTAAAAAAAACACAACAGCAGATTATTACAGTACAGTATATAATAATAAACATTGTCAGAACAGCACAATGTCCACCACAGTGTCATAAGTGCTAGCCCCATGACTCCTCCATGACTTTACCATTTGTTTTTGCCCTATCATTCATTCAGGCCACAATTTACCACCGTTTTGCACCCGAAGCCGTCTTGACACAATTTTAACCCGTGTCTTAGGGTTAGAATTAGGTTTAAGCGCGTTAGACTGGAAGCTGGAAACTCATGTGGAGAAAATGAACTTTGGACTTTAAAGGCTATGGCCACCGAACACCTGGTGTAAGTTGATATCAGTAAATATGAGCTCACTTTTAAAGACACGTTGTAAATGAATATTCAGTAATGACTCATCCAACTGCATCTCTGGGCTCAAATGTGATGACGATACAGGATAACACAGGGCGACGTATCAGCAAGGAAATGACGGGAAATTTCAAGACGTCAAACTGCATCATCCAACACCAGACCAAAACACGTCATGTGTCGAAATAGTTTCACAGATGGAGTGTGATTGAGCGTAGGTCCAGTATTTCCCGTAAGCTCAGGTTTCTTTCCTTCTCGGCAGCAGCCAGAGGTGCTGTATAGTGTCGACTATAGCTTGAAATAAGGAAGTGAATTCAGTTTGGTTCAAACCTGCAGAGGAAGCTGAGGCACACATCATCGTAAGCTGACTTTTGTGGTCGACAGGACGAGAGAGAGAGAGACAGAGACACAAACAGGCAGGCAAATGCTTCTTTGCTTTTCTTACTCCAGTCAACTTTGTCCTCCCCTCGTAGAACTATCAGCCAGGAGCTCAAATGGGATGAAGCAAGATTCCTTTTCTACAGTTTAACATCAGATCCTCGCGTCAGGATGAATAGCCAGGGAAAATCTGTGAACTCCAGTGCAATAAAAGCCGAGATAAAGAGGCACGAATCTCTGCAGAGTGCCATCAAAAGACTGTCCAGACAGTTTGAAAGGATCCCCGACCAACAGCTGCGCTCAGGCCTCAAGGTTTACCTCCATAGTATTCAAGGTCAGTGTGTCTTTGTGTCTTTCTGTTGCAAACGTTTGTGTGTGAAACAAACAAGCGTGCTGTCACCTGCGCCCTTCCCAGAATTTGGTTTGTGAATGCTCTGACTTTGAGGATGCTCTCTCGGTATTCTCTTTGGTATAAAAGTTCTACGTCCCTAGACTTAAGACTCTCTTTTTCGTCAGCATTAGATCAGGGTGTAGAAGAAGTTACTAATGTAGTAGATCGTTATCTTCCTCTGTGCTTCCTGTGAAAGTTGACTACGTGTTTTCTGCAGTCGATGTTCGCTTTCATTCACATTTCACTCCGAAACAGGGGAAGTTTGACCAACGTAGGGGTCTTAATTACTAGTCAGCTATGAGACATGGGCAGCCAATGGCAGCATCCCTCAGCAGCCATCGCCATGGCAGCAGCATGGAACCTGCTGAGCGGCCTACTTCCTGTCTACCATTCTGTAACTGCCCTCAAAGCCACTTCCTCTCAGGCAAACAGGGTGTCTGTGTAGAAGCCGATCACATCATTTCCTTATGTCACTACATCCTACCGTTGCTTGTAAATGTGACACAAGGCATTACAGTTAAACTTCTCTTCTCTGGAAGTTTTGCTCGAGGTGAGAAACAACAGAAAAAGTGACGTGAAATCTTAGGTCCTAAAAAAAGAATTGTAGGCTGTGTTTAAAATTCTGTTGTTCAAATAAATGACACAATCCAGTAAAAATATTAAAAGTTAAATAAGGAATTATATCAAATTATATTTAAGACATATATACTGCATTTATTATGGGGATGAATATATTTACAAAAAATACTTTAGTGTAAGTACAACTGGGTTATCATGAGTCTGATCTTTTCTCACGAGGTCTGCCAGGAAAAAGCTGCAAGACACCTAGGCTTCTAGTGCCATTTCTAAAACTGGATGAATGGGTAGAATGAGTTCAAAATCCCTCCTAATGTAATCATTTGCACAGAGAGTAAAAATTGAACAAATTAGTGTAAAGAAAGTTCCAGGCTGAGCAGTAAGTATTTTTGGACAAAGGTAGTATTGAAAGGACTGTTCAGTCCCACGACCCACAGAGTTCAGCCTGGAGACTCACTAAGAAGTTTTAAAAAATTAAATTAGATTTTTATAATTTTCAGTAACTGCTGTGGCTTCAAAATCAAATTAACTGGCGGACTTTTTTTTAATCTGTACTCTGAATTACAGGCTTCTTAAAACATACTGTAAATTCAGGAAAAAATTTAAAAGAAAATATCTTCTTCTATCATAATGTCGTTTTATACATTGAATTAACACATCGTTTATTATGTATGCCTCCAAATTATACTTGGGTTTTTACTCAGTGGCTAAGCAGAAGCCCTGCAAAGACACAGACATGATATTTTGGTTTGAATTTCACAGTTTTTATGCAGAAACAGTTAAGGATGATTCTGCTCCTGTGACTAAAACAGTTCACTCTCTCTTGTTGAGGTCTAGATGTTTTCAGGATGTGGCAGATGTTGACATGCTCTTTACATATTGAGTCAATCCCTTAATATGTAAAAAAAACATACAGATGATTTTTTTTAGGAAGTAATTGGGCCGCCTGCATCTGTACGCTCCATTGAGGATCAAGGAAAGTTCATCCCCAGAGGAGCCTGGATCTCTGGGCGTCACTGGTGTTGTGATGAAAAACTGTTCCACCAATATTTTTAACGAGTGACAGGGACACGGTCGACTGGGCCAGTGCCAAAGACGGACTGAGGTAAAAGGGAAATGGTTTGGGTGCTAGTGAGAACGTGGGGGTGCGGTGCAGCACAGCAGACATGGTTAGTGGTTGAGAGCGAAAGAATATGGAGAGGACGGTTCACAATGAGGGAGAAATGAAAAATCACCCAGCATGACCACTGCCCTTGGCTGCTGTTCCTCCGAGAGCATCCAACCATGGGTGGCAGTGCATGTGTGCCTTTGTCTGTGTGTGTGTCTGTGTCTGTGTGTTTGTGTGTGTTGGAGGCAGCTGTGCTGTTATGCATGCATTTCAGGTAGATGGGCATAAATGGAAAAACAAAGTGTGCCTGAAGACTACGTGATTCTCTGCATCACACACAGTCATCCAGTGTCCATTTCACAAGAATTGGATTCACCTTGCTGCAACGAGAACTGCAGCAACCTCACACGCACTCCAGCTGACACACATGTCACGTCAAAAACCTCTTTTTCCACATGACACATGCCACACAAGTCCACACACACAGAAAATCTGTGTTTGAACTTCTTCTCCGTTTCTGTTCCCTCCTCTGTGACTGCGGTCCCTGCAGCCTTTCAGCTCGTATCTTTTTCAGCCAAAGGCGGTTGTCAGAGGTCTTTTGTATTCAGTGTGAGTAGTTATTGCCCTCTCACTCTCTGTGGAAGGGAGGGGGAGGAGGGCTGAGCAGGTGGACGGTCAGACCGTGCATTATGGGATGGTGGTAGGAGGCTGCAGCACTGAGGGGCAGTGCATCCTCTGATTTCACATCAAGTTGCATGAAATGACTGCTGGCCGTAAATCAAATCATGGGTGGGCAATAAAAAGTTGCCTTGCACTTTATGTTACTGAACACACCATCCGTACTTCGAACATCTATTGTTCAACAATTTAAATCAATAAAGTTCATCATAAATATAAAGGATAAAAAGTCAAAATGTGTCACATTGGATAAGCACAGAATGTGTTGCGCCAAATCCTGCAGGGGGTGCTATAAATGTAATTAAAATTCCCTAAAATATTGACATATGACTCTATTATTATTTCTTCACAAATAATAATAAAATCATAGAGTAGAATATCACAGATTAGGAAAGTAAATTCATAGTTTGTCTGTACGCTAAGTAAAGTAAAGTGAAGTGATCAAACATGGCTGCCTCTCACTGTATATAAAAGGAGTCGTTCTTGTGCAACAATTCATACATTTAAGTCAAATGTGAATCAAATAAGGAATGGACAAACAAAAGACACAGATTTTTTTTCTATTTTGACAAATTTAAAATAACACAAAAAAATGTGCTGAGAGCTGGTGAGAGCATTTTTAGCCTGGTAATCCTACAGCTGGGGGGGGGGGCAGTGGTGAAATCTTCAGATGTATGGCAGCTTAAAAAGAACAATGATTTTAGTACAGATTTGTTGAGCTTTTTTCTAAGATAGAAGACAATGTCGTCTGCATAGAGAAACACACAGCGATCCTGAATCCTTTATATTGATGTATAACTGTGGAAGCCTTAACTGAACACCCACCCCCAAAATATTTTGGGCATTGTTCTCTTAATCTTTTGTGCTTGATTACTGAGTTAGCAATCTTAGTTGAACACATTTGTACTTCACTTTAACAGGATTCTTGTAATATTTTTCTAAAAAGAAAGCGTTGGATCCTATTGGTTCCTTCAGTCTGCTGTGGTCGGCTATTGATGCTGTGTGTCCAGTGCTTACCCACTTCTGCTAATGAACACATGCCATCGTAGACAACAGACTACAGATCAATACACTCACAGGAAGACCCTGCCTCACTCACATGTAATACACGGACACTCTGGCTGTGTCTCTCTCTCTGTGGTTCTGTCTGTCTCTCTCTCTCTCTCTCTCTCTCTCTCTCACTGCGTCTCACACGTGCACATGTAGAATTCTGACACGGAAATTAAAGGAAGCCATTGTAACACAAAGTGGAATGGGAGGAGGAGGAGGAGGAGGAGATGATTGTGGCACAGCAGAGAGAAGGAGATTGGAACACCTTAGCAACAAACAAGCCCACCCTCCTGCTGAGGAGGAGCCACACACACACACACACACACACACACACACACACACACACACACAGAGCCTAGACTGATAGATGATCTTGATGAAACAATAGCAGCTGTATAAATAAGACAGGGAACAGACACTCTGCCTGAGTGTTCCTCCACGGATGTGCAGCTATTTCCAGTCTTCTCCCATTTATTACGTCCTATTTCCTGCCTGCTCTGCCCTTCTTCATCATCAATTTCTCCTCTCCTCCCTGTCACTGTCCTCTTCCACTCCTACGGTCTGCAATCATTTTCCAGGACCTGCATGTATGTATGTGTGTGTGTGTGTGTGTGTGTGTGTACTGCTACCCTCACCCCCAGCAGTGAGTGCAAGGGGGGAGAAAGATGGAGGGCTGGGACATGAGCAATAAAAATCCAGGCGTGTGCATGTACACTTGGAAATAAGGAGCAGGAGGAGAAACCAGGGGAAATAAAGGAGGGGAGAGAGGGAGGAGGAGGAGAAGGGAGGTGCAGCCTCCCTCACTTTTGTGTAGTCTGTTTATAAGAATAAGGAGGGGCAGGCTGAGGGTGTGAGGCACCGAGAGAAGGATGGATGGAGAATCCTCTCACCGAGTGTGTGCTGGAGGGAGCTGCGCATGTACCGTACCGTGCCGTACCGTACCGTACCGTACCGTGTGCTCCTCCTCCTCCTCTGTACATGTGTGCACGCGTGATTCGCTCTGGACTCGTTGAACCTGTGCGTCGGTGTCTCTAATTAGGAAAGCTTCAGTTCCTGAGCAGTGACTCTTCCCAGAGATCCCTCCTCCTCCTCCTCCTCCTCCTCTTCATCATCATCATCATCATCATCTTCCTCCTCCTGTGCTGACATGCTACGCGCCTGATGCGCTCGGATCACAGACGGCCCGGCAGATAGCCAGAGGGGTGTGATGGCCGGACGCGCCCTGACTCGGTCATCCATCTCCACACATCCGCTCGGGCTTCCGTTGGCTTCACCTCCTGATCGGCTTCGTTCCTCCTCGGTGTCCTTTCTGCGTGTCTCCGTGACGCTTTCCGCCTGAATGGATGCCGCTTTCACCACACATGTGAGCTCTGTGGGCTTTAGGAGCACACGGTCTGGACCGGGGGGGTGCACTGTGCCGTGGAGGTTTAGGATGACACTCTACTGATTTTTTTTTCTTTTCCGTGAAGGCGTCAGGTTTCTACTTTGGAATACCTGCCGTCACATCCTTGGTGACGTATGATGCGGGACAGGTTGTTATCCTGAACTGAATGGTGATTTCTCCTGCTCATGAGTAGAGAAGCCGAGGATCATACGAGATGAGGATGCCGCACATGAAAATAAGGTCAGGCAAATAATTACCATGAGAAACGAGGCATCAGGCAGCAGGAGGAAGACGTGTGTGTCTGAGTAGCTGCAGACACTACATATGCTGCTGGTTGGACTTCAACAAACGGAACGAAAGAGCTGACAGTGTTTTGGAGGCTGCAATAACGAGTGGATTTATTGACTGGATGATTTGAACTTTCAGTAAACAGAGACATTCAAGACAGAGAAGTTCAAATCTGGGGGATGGATGAAGACAGCAGCACCTCTGCTGTTGGATTCTCTCAGGAGGAATTTATTTTCCCTCCAAGTCAGTTTTCTTCTGCCTCTCTGGTGCGTTCTGATCTTTTCACATTTCAACACGCTGTCAGACCGTCAGCACATCCTGTCGCTCAGTCTTCTTTCATTCGTCTACTGTGACTTTACCGAAGCCTGTCCCCATGAGTGGTGGCGGCGCCCTGCAGCAACGCACCACCTACCTCATCTCCCTGACCCTGGTCAAAGTAGAGGCCGTGGAGGAGAATGGAGGGGAGGCCAAGAACAGGAGTCAGGGTAAAGATGTGGAGAGCAGGTCAGGAGACAAGGCACAAAAGGAGGTAGGGGGCGATGGCGAGGCTCAAGGTGAAGCCTGTGGCCAGGCGCAGACTGGAGCTGGAGTGGTTTCAGGACAACTACAGAAAGCTGAGGATGTCACCGCTGGGAAGTTGGCGGAGGCGAACGTAGAAGGCAAAGATGGAAAGAGAAAATCCATCAGTCCTTTGAAAGATAAGCCATCATCATCCAGTGATGTCCTGAATAAAGGCGAAGATAAGCCTCCGTTCAATCTCTCAATCCCACTACCAGGTGAGAGAGCCACCGTCCAGAAGACGAAGCCTGCGGAGACAGATTTTCCTAGAGTGGAGACAGCACTTGTCACACCTGAGGCAAAGCAATGCAGGTCTCCATCTTGCATTACGACGCCACCCAAGGAGATTTGTGGCGAGCCCAGCCGCACTCCAACCAGGACCAGCCTCCCTATTCGTCCTGCAGGACAGCGGCCCGTGAGTCTGTTGAAGTCTCATAGTAACGTGGCCACCCGTGGAAGGGATTCCAGGGATGGGAGAGAGCGGAGTCCTACCTCGGCCCAGAGCCTTGACCGCAAGGACTGCCGGATGGTGACCCGCTCTCCAGGCCCTTGCAGGGCCTCCTGGGCTGAGGCGAGCAGGCCCGAGGCGTGGAGGGACTTGCGGGACGAGGTGCAGGCAGGAATACCTTTAGACAGTGTGAGTGGGATGGCTGTGATGAGAGACAACCCCAGAAAAGAAAGGCTAAAAGCAGGGTCCAGCTCCCTGCCTGCACCTGCATCTCAGGCTCCCAAACCGGCGCGCAAAGGTAAAAGTCGCACCCTGGACAACAGTGACCTGAACAGCCTCTCTGAAGACCTCGGGCTGGTCAGGGACGCCCATCAGGCACAGCGTGGCTCCGCCAAAGACAGGAAGATGCTCAAGTTTATCAGTGGCATTTTCACAAAGAGCAGCTCCGGGGTCTCCACAGCGCCTCCTGTCTACATCCAGAGAGACTCCAGTGAGGAGGAAGGTAAAAGAGCACTCACACACTGTCTGTCTCTCACACACACTGTCCTCTCCTCAACTCTAAATCCAGCCGTCGCGTAGACAATTCCATGAGGACTCATCATTATCAGACTCGCACCTGTCTTCTTTTCTTTTGCCCAACGGCTCCTGGCAGTAGCCACCTGGTTCGTGCACATTCTTTAAAAAACACACAGGGTGGGGTTGATGGTTTTCTCCCAGATACGACACAGTTTGTATTTAAAACTTTAACACTGACACGATGGGAAAAAGAATAACCTGAAGCCGTGTCTGACTACATTTTGATGACAGTTCTGTACGACACAGTTAATATTTAAAACTTTAACACTGACACAATGGGAAAAAGAATAACCTGAAGCCATGTCTGACTACATTTTGATGACAGTTCTTTCATCTTTAGGCTAACAATAGAGCCGTCTTGGACAGTCATAATCTAATTCCCCTCAGAGCGCCGGGCTGGTTTCACGTCGCTCCGGGGGTAATCTCTGCACACACACACACTTAAGCTAAGAATTCCCAGCATGGATTCAAATCCCATAATGATGCCAAGAGGGAGAGGTGCTTGGTGGCATGATCCTGGACTGATTTTACATTCATTCCATTGTGGTGGAGAATGTATTCCCTGTTGGGTCAACCCCCCCTGCTTTCCCAAAAAAAAAAGCAGATGAGATGAATTTCAAACCCATTTTTTTGACGTTCCACCCTCCATACGTCCTGCCACTTTATAGATCCTAACCCACACCCCCCCCGCGACCCCGTCCCTTCACACTCCTCTCTTTGTCTCCGCTCAGCATTTCATTTAAATTCATGTCAAAAGAATTCATGAGGCGTTCGAAGCACCACTGTAGGGTCGTTGTCGCCGCCGCCGCCGCTGGTGCGTTGCTGCAGCAAACAACAGTGCGTCTCCCTCACAAACATGTTTGCTCAAAGAAAGCGCGAGTGTGTCAGTCTGAGGGGGTGAGAGAGCGCCATCTACGCATCCATTCACTCATTGTGCATTCACACTGTTACACATGCACACTGTGGATTCGCCAAAGTAGTGGGAATGTGGCCCCCGCCAACTGCAGGCACACACACACACACACACACACACAGGACACGAGGAAGTGTTGCCATGGCAACCGGCAGGACTGCTGCCTCTGCCTCTGCTTCCAAGGCGCGGCAGAAACATAGGGGTGGAGGAGGTGTGTTGTGTACGTGTGCGTTTGCACATGTGCGTCTGCACGAAAATATGTACGGCGAATGTCGCCGGCTTGACACGACATCGGAGGGGGCCTGTGGCCCCGGCCCACGCGGCTCCATCACCCTCAGGATTATTCATTCAGAAAAGCAGCCGTTGTGAAGTGAGCCCTGGGCCACAGTGGGGGTTGTAGTGGATCACACATGATCGGTTTGGAGCAGGGGTTGTGGATAATTGGCTCTCTGTAAAACCTGTGTGACAACGCAGCAGAGGGATGGCACGGTCTGGCCATAAAGAGGGCTTTGACTGGAACAGCAGACGAGATGGAGAGAGTCCATGTGTGTGCAGTCGGTCTGATTGCACGAGGATTTGGTTTTTTTTTTAGGGAGTTGACTACAGCGGCTGCTGTGTAAGCCTCTCTTTTGCTTGTTGTGAAGCCCACCATCGGCCTGGACCCATAGATATAAACCTGAATCCTCAAATCCTCCTTCAAGAGCCAAGTTTCTCCTGCAAGAATTGGCCCCCTACTGGTCTAATGGCTCTGCGCGTCTCCTGGGGCTTAACAACAAGACAACATTTGATTTGCATAACAAGAATAGAGTGTAAGTTTGGACACAATATAATATAATATATGTTATGTTATGTTATGTTATGTTATGTTATGTTATGTTATGTTATGTTATGTTATATTTCTATGCGCTTTGGCCCAGAGGCAATGTCTCTGTCATTGGTGTGGAACCCCAGGGTTCACCTCCTGGGAACGATCGAATCCCTATATATAATTATATATAATTTTTTTCCATCAATTCTGCTGTAAAACCCAGCATGATGACTGTCCACAGGAAGTCTGGTGAGAAGTCATCGTCCCAGTCTGTGTGCTCTGATATGATTAGTTTCTGCTGCACTTTAGTTGAACTGCCTAAAAATAAAAAGTGAGCGTTCACCTTCACAGAGGAGGCTTTGTTGTAGATGAGCTTTCTTCCACAGTGTTGGTTTTAGACAGGTGTCCGCTGCTCCTCCTGTCATAAGATGTCGGTGCTGTGGTCGCTCTGTTCTTGTTGTTTACATAATTAGAAAGCGTTTTTGGGCAAAACACAATCATTGAAAGACAAAATCTGGCGGTCTGAATTGTGCAAAGATTTTCTGTACAGCACTGGTCGGTGACATCTGGGAGTTTTACATTTTTCACCAGAAGCCATTTATTAATGAGGTCTCTGGGGAGTTATGAATAATAAGTCACACTTTTTCTAGGGATGTCCGATACTAACTTTTTACCGATATCCCAATATTGTCCAAACATTGAATTTCCGACTCCAATATCAACCGATACCAATATAGGCCTGGTAATATTTATTTATTTATCTGTACAAACCACTGTATGAGTATGCGATTAATTAAACAAGCTGCTATGCTGCCACCTAGTGACCTTCGCTTTAATATACAGCCATTTATCCCCAAAACAATTTTAAAAAAATGACATGCACCCTATGTCATTTGGCAAAACCCAGGCATTGCGTTATCGGGTTTTCATTATTGGAGGAAAAAACGATAACGATTCTTACGGCTGTTACATAACGTGCTAATATTTAGCCGATAATATCAGCCGACCGATATTATCGGACATCCCTAATTTTTTTATTTATGTTGCATTTTGGTCCAGGATAGGTTTTGAACCATTGTGACAAAAACAAAAACAGAAAACTTGACACAAAACATATTGCAATAATAAAAAAAGACTTTTTCTCTAAGTGTGTTTCAGCAACTCTATTTCAGTTCAGAGGGGAGTTGTTATTCAAACCCAAAGATGTCTTTCAGTGGCAGCAGTTCTCAGCCGTGAGGTGGGAGGTGGGACTCCCCGGGGAGGCTGAAAAACCCTTTCAGAGGAGGCACAGGAAGAGGAAGTGAAGAAATATTACATTAGAGCTAAATTAGATATCTTCTGTGTGTGTGTGTGTGTGTGTGTGTGTGTGTGTGTGTGAGTCAGAAACCATTGAAAGCCCACAGTTTTGAAGCATTTGGTGAAATCTGTTTTTCTACGTCAGGCCAGGTCAGCTCTAAGGTTACCTGTGGTGAATGATGTCTGTGTGTGGAGAGATAAGACTACTCCACTTCCACAAATTGACCAATAACATGGTTAGTTAATTACACTCAGCTTTTTCAAGGCTTCGTCTGAGTGGAGCCTCCCCCCTACCCCCACCTTCCCATTCTCCCCACCCTCAGCACCACACCACTGCCTACCAGCGGGGAGCAAAGTGGCTAATGAGTGTTGAGGCCCCACCTTGTTGAATCCCCCTGTTGTGACTGAAAGGTCACGTTCATTAAGCATCGACGATGCCGTTAGTGATGGGTCACACAGCGGCGGTGGCTTCTCACCCCCCCAACACAGGCTAAAATGAAGGCTGCCTTTTTTTTTTACAGCCCGTCTGTAGGATGTTGAACGTCCACTCGCTGCTTCCCCTCACTGACCGTTTGTCTTTGTTCCTCTCTTTCTAGTAAATATTGCCAACAGCCAGGAGTGGACCCTGAGCAGAGCCATCCCTGAGCTGAGACTGGTGAGACACAAAACAAACAAGCTGTAGTTTTTAACTGAGCATTCTGTGTAACTAGAAGAAATTACAGACACATTTCCCAGCATGCCTTTTACTTCTTCTTCTTCTCTACAAAAAAATTATAGAAATAGTTGATATTTTCAGGTTATAATTTTGTGTTGCTAGTCTTATTGGTCACAAAGCTAATTTGATCAGTACTGTCTAAGTCAGTGGCTTCCAAAGTGGGGGGCGGGGCCCCCTGGCAGGCCGTACTTTGTCATTTTATTTCTGTATTTTATTTGAAAAATCACCTGAAGTGGCATCTCACACTGAAATGTTTTATTTTTGTTTTACAAAATCAGAAGTTTAATATTATATTATTTAATTGTTGCACATACATATACAGTAGCTCCAATGCTTCATTTTAAATGCAAACCTGGAGCTGAAACCTGAAATCGTTTAGAAAATAAACTACAGCTGAGAATGAAACTGATGATGATTGACAGGCTAGGCCGACAAACAGGAACTAACACGCTCTACGTAGAAACTAAGGTTTAGACGAGCTTTCTCTGGTTCCGAGCTGCGTGTTCGATGCACTGGACGGTGTTGTGATCACGTAATGTGCTGACCCTGCGTTTCCTTCCTGCTTCTCTCAGGGCGTTTTAGGAAGTGTGAAAAGTGGGAAGTCAGCGCTGGTGAACAAATACATCACAGGAAGTTATGTAGCACTGGAGACGTCTGATGGTAAGACACAAACACAGGTGCGCTTTATTACGGAAATCAAATGTGATAAAAGATTAACAACATCCGTGCAGTGTTAATTGTACTTGTAGTACTTGTAGTACTCCAGAGACTACAGTAGTGCTTATACTGCATGTAACTCATCGGCGCCGCAGCTCAATAACTTCTGTCTGTCACTGTCTTCGTCAGGCGGCAGATACAAAAAGGAAGTGTTGGTGGATGGACAGAGTCATCTGTTACTGATCAGAGAGGACGCTGCACCACCTGATGCACAGGTGCTACGTGTGTATGTGTGTGTGTGTGAGAGAGCAGTTAATATGCAAAATATCTTTGCTGCCTGAGCACGTCAACATTTATCAGACTCGTGCACCGGGTGCTAACGCCTCCGTTCGCTCCACAGTTCAGCAGCTGGGTCGACGCAGTCCTCCTGGTCTTCAGTCTGGAAAACGAGGCCAGTTTTCAGGAGCTGTACCAGCTCTACAGTCAGCTCTGCACCTTCCGCTCAGACATCCCGGTCATAGTGGTCGGCACTCAAGGTCAGATCACGACTGAATCCCGCCGCAGAATTATCGTTGATTCTTCACTTTCACTTCATTTGTTGGAACAAAGTTGATTTTTCTGACGCATCACTGCCAAAATGTGTCTGTTCAGATAAAATCAGCAGCTCCAACCCCCGGGTGATAGAAGATCACAGAGCCAGACAGCTGTGCATTGATGTGCGTCACTCGCTGTTCTATGAGACCTGCGCCACCTATGGGTTCAACGTGGACCGAGTCTTTTCAGAGGGTGAGTTGACACATACGGTAAAGCCCTGGGGTCACAGTGACGTGACACCGGTGACGTGGTCATCGGTGTTAGAAACAGACACAGTTAAAGGCTGTTTTTTTTTGTTTTTTTTTTCCAGCTGCTCAGAAGATCGTAACGCAGAAGAAACAGGCAGCGCTCCAGGCCTGCAAATCCCTCCCAAACTCACCCAGTCACTCGGGAGGCTCCACACCTGGATCTGCATCCCTCCCAGGCCAGGTACCCTGCTCTGTTGTGTTATTTTAATTTTTTGTGTCACAAAATATTAGGTATACGCTTTGCTCTGGATTAAATACTCAGCAGATCTGCAGTGACTCTCACATTATAGCACTGTAACTGTAACAAAAACCACGTCACAAATGTGGAAATACTTTACGTCAAGAATTATTTTTATAACATTTGTCAGACAAGATTTAAAAAAATAAATCTCATCCATCAGAGGTATTTTTATTTAAATAAAATGCATTTTATTAAATTGGTAATATACGGCACAGAGTTTAACCATTTAAATTAATTTAGCTTGATGAATAAATCAATAAATATATACACATAAACAGGAACTCAAACAACATAGATTTATTTTGTATCAATATTTTATGCTTATTTTTCATCTCCCGGTGCAGTTACAGCTGTTGTCGTCAGTATAGTTTTTTTAATCAAACTCAATTTATATAATTAAAAAAAAAACATTTCCTGAACATGAAGTGTTAGTGTATTTTTTTTTTAATTTTAAAATTCATCAAGCGGGCCGGATTGAAACCCCTAGTGGGCCGCTTTTGGCCCACGGGCCGTATGTTTGACACTCCAATGGTACTTCAGGGTCATACTGTAGTACAGTTCATTCTATTCAATAAAACTTCATAAAACAGGAGTATAATCGTGGATTTCACCCATCATCATCCAGCTCCACACGTGTCACATTTCCATGGTCAACAATGACCGACACAGTGTAAAACAAAGTTTCATTTCCATTCGTCACCCACTCTGTGAATCTACTCCCTCTGTTGGAGCCGTTTCATCCTGTCAACCATTCTCAACCATGTCTTCATCGTCTCTTCCCTCATGCCTACATTCCCATCATCCTCGCTGCATCCCTGACCTCGTGACCCCGCTGCCCTCCACCCCCCCTCAGTCCAGTAATGGTCCCAGTTGTGGCTACGCCTACTCCCTCCCCTCCACCCCCGTGGTGGGTCACAGAGAGCTGCGTGTCGCGCAGGGAGAAGGGGGAGGTAGCATCAAGGCTCAGGCGCTGAAGAGCATCCCCCGACGACCCTCGCTCTTCAAGGTCAGTTACTGTCATATGTCGGCGTCTCCGGTCACCTCATCCGCTCATCGTTGTCCACTCCGCCTCCTCACTGACTCCACGTGTACAGCACTGACCTGTGTGTTTGTTCTAGAACCGGGACCTGGATAAGAAATCTGCTGATCCTAAAGGAGACCTGAGCAGCACGCGAGGCGTTCCCATCAAACAGGTTTGGATAACGTTGAACAAACAGTGAAAATAACTGGGAACAGAATGTACCTGTCTATTTATTCCATCTTATATAAGTCTGTTTCTGACATGAAGGCTGCTTTATTTATAGTCTTGTGATTTCATTTTTCTTCCTATTTCTGAAATTCAATTAAAAAAAAAAGCTGTCTGTTATTAGTCCACTGACCTTGGCTGTTTTTATGGCCTGACAGGGCATCCTGTGGAAGAGAAGTGGAAGTTCTCTGAACAAGGAGTGGAAGAAGAAATACGTCACCCTCTCCAACAATGGCACACTGTCCTACCACTCCAGCTCCAGTGTAAGAGAAAACCGCAGCTCTGATCGATAGAGCAGTAAAACACAGTGAAGCATCAGCGAAAGACCGGCAGAGTTTTCACTGCGCCATGTTATAAATTTAGTTTCTGCGTCAGTGGTTTCATAGGACACATTTGTCTCAAATTGCTCTATAATTGCTCTAGAGCATTTGAACCCCCCCACACCGCCCCCTTGTGCCTCCTACAGAAAGAGATCCTGAATAATCGGCTGTACATTGATAGCAGATACCTTCATATATGGACTGTAGACTGTGTAAACAACAACAACAACAACAACACTAACAACAACAGTAACACAAGGATTCAATGTCATTCCAATGTAATGTAACCACAGCAGGGAGATCCACCCACTCATCTGTTGAGAGCGGGGTGGGGGTTGGGGGGAGGGTCAGAGACCTAATGCAGCTCATCCACAGACAGATGTGGATGTCGCCCATACAGTCCATGGTTAGAGGAGATACCATAATGACTTGAAACCAGATCTCCACAGACGTCACTGGTCCGCTACAGTTAATTTATGGGACACATGTAATAGTTCTGTTACTGATCTGGTTTGGAGTCAATGCAGGAAACAGAAAAAGAAGCTTTGAAAAGAGCTCAGCAAAATAAAAAAAACCAGAGTCCAGGATTAGGCTGAGGGACTGGTCTCCACAGGGGTTGATGTTTGACTGACTCTAATCTGGGGGTTTTTCCGGGGGGCGGTTGTTGTTGTTTCAGGACTACACTCAGAATGCCCATGGTAAAGATATCGACCTGCTTCGTGTCACGGTGAAGGTCCCTGGAAAACGTCCTCCGAGAGCCGTGGCACCTGCAGGCCCCTCCCCCGTCCCCCCCGCCTCCATACCCGGAGGCAATGGTCTGAGGAAAGAGGCTCCTGCCCCCGGGGAGACCCACAGGTGGGCATCGGTATTCTGGTACTTTTCAGATATAAATATGTTTGTGGGCCATTCACAACAGCAGTCAAGTTAATTACCATAATTACCAATAAATAACAATAAGTATATGTTTGTCCCCTTCGTTTTCATGCAAAGAAGTACAAGTATATTAGAAAATATTTATTGAAATATAATTTGAAAAAACGTGACGGACATGAAGTGTTTGTGCATTTTTTTTGCTTTCAAAGTGCATCAAGTGGACCGGATTGAACACCCAAGCGGACCAATTTTGGCCCACGTGCCGCATGTTTGACATCCCTGATCTAACACATACGTGCATAAAGAAAGAAAGTCATTTGCAAATAAAACTAATGATGTCTAAACAGTAAAGTTCATGCACGAGGATATAAAGACGAACAGATTCGTCCAACTGATGTGAAATTAACTTAATATAAACAGATGGAAATACTGTACGCTACGTGTTGACCTCGTCTGTCACTTTTCCTTCAGTTCCTCAGTTGTGTCCCTCCACCCTGTCGGTGGCCGATGACCGGACAGGTGTTTTGTCGCCTCAAGGTGGAGACAGAGGACTCCAGCGCTGCCCGTCGTCACTCTCCACCAAAGCACAAAGTGTCGGTACGTACCGCTGGAAAACCCGCTTTTTTTTTCCCACACTCGGTGTCACTGTGTCTAAAAACGCTCCCCTGTAGTTGTGGCAGTTGTGAACGTAAACACTGCTGTCAGTAATGATTAGTTGTCTCTGCGCCAAACCTCAGACGCCCTTGAAGGTACGGCTGGTCCATTTGCTGGAAAGGAGCCCGGCCAGTCGTCTCCCATGAGCGACAGGAAGAAGAACAGGAGGAAGAAGAGCATGAATCAGAAAGGAGACGCAGCTGTCGGGCAGGCAGAAGGTGAGCCGTAATTTACCGCACATTTATCCTTCTCTTATTTACCAGCAGCTGATGTTAAAGTACGTTGATCTACAGTGTTTGTCTCTCTGTGAATATATTCCCTGACTTCCTAACGCCTGCACTTGTCCTTCTCTGTATTTTTCTCTTCTTCCTGTGCTTCTGGTCTCGCTCTGCAGCCAAACGTAAAATGTGGAAATTAAAGAGCTTTGGTAGCTTGAGAAACATTAATAAGACAGGTAACAAGTGAGAGTGCCGAGGCCGGACCTGCTTGTGCTCATACACTCACACCCGCCCTCCCACTGTTTTTCCTTTTCAGTTGAAACCCTTCATCTCAGCCTTAAATGTGTGTGACTTTCTTTTGAAATCCTAAATTGTTTTGTTTGTTTTCCCCTATCAACAAACTACTGTGTGATTTTTATTTTATTTATTTTTATTCATTTTTCCATTTCACAGGCATTGTACACTGTAAATATCTTAAAACTCAATCAATGCCATTTCAACACACACTGGTTTTTCTTTTCCACTGGCAGACGAGGAGAACGCAGACTTCATCGTGGTGTCGTTCACCGGGCAGAGCTGGCACTTCGAGGCTCAGAGTCTGGAGGACAGAGACTCCTGGGTGTCGGCTATCGAGAGCCAGATTCTGGCCAGTCTGCAGTCGTGTGAGAGTGGCAGAAATAAGGTAAAAACAACATGAATGCACTGGAGACGGACGGGTCAGCAGGGAATAAGATTCAGAATTTAAGTTTCTTACACAGGATTAATCAGTGCAGAGCATGTGTGTGTGTGTGTGTGTGTGTGTGTTCAGGCTCGTAGGAGCAGTCAGAGTGAAGCCGTCGCACTTCAGGCCATCCGAAACGCCAAGGGCAACGGTCTGTGTGTGGACTGCGAAGCACAGAGTGAGTACGGTGACGTTTCTGATCATCGTTTTAATTTATTTTCTGATCTATTTTCATAATTCCAGTTTCATTGTTCTAATATTAATTTCCCAGCATTCTCTCCTTCTTTCCGTCGTGCAGATCCCACCTGGGCCAGTCTCAATCTAGGTGCGCTGATTTGTATCGAGTGTTCGGGGATACATCGGAACCTGGGGACTCACTTGTCCCGCGTTCGCTCCCTGGACCTGGACGACTGGCCTGGAGAACTCACACAGGTCCTGGCTGCCATTGGAAACCACATGGCCAATAGTATCTGGGAGAGCTGCACACAGGGGAGAACCAAACCCACTCCTCATGCAACACGGTGGGTTCCACATCCAAATCCATTGGTTTTGTTTATGTTGCTGTGCGGGCCCCCTGCTGGCCACACCCCGCCCTGTTTGTTTTTTAAAAAGATCATATTTATATTTTACCCACCCCCGTTCTAAATCCTCTGTGTTTTTGTGTGTGTCTGTTTTTGACAGTGAGGAGCGAGAGTCCTGGATTCGTGCAAAGTATGAGCAGCGGGCCTTCGTGGCACCGCTCCAGCCCGCCTCAGGGACCGCTCTACATGACGACAGTATGTCTGTGTGGGTGTTGTCTGCAGTGACTGACAGAGATCTGCCCAGGCTGCTGCTTCTTCTGGCCCACAGCAACAAGGAGCAGATCAACTCTCAGCCAGCTGGGTCCACTCCACTGTCCCGCACAGCCCTGCACGCTGCCTGTCAGCTGGGAGATGTAGTCATGACCCAGCTGCTGGTCTGGGTGGGTTCGCCTCAGCTCTCAACACAGACACATTCAGGACACATGTAGTTCACGTGACGGAGGGTTGGAGCAGGCGTGGGCAAACTTTCTGACCCGCGGGCCACAATGGGTCCTAAAGACTGAAAGACAATTTTAGAAAAATATTTACTGATCATTTGAGTTTGGAGCTCATCCCTGCTGGACAGAAAGGGTACTGCAACAAAACTCAATTTGGTTATAAACCATCATTTTTACTGTTCTATGTTAACTAAGTAAGGTTAACATTTTACTAAAGAAATGCTCTCAGCTATACTTTAGGGTGTGGCCTAATTAATGATGACATCACTCCCATGTTCCGGTTAGAGATAAATACATAGATAACATCTGTCTCAGTGTCACAGTGCACATACTACTGCATACACGTGTGTACTGTATGTGTAATCAATACTACATGTCCTAATGATCCGCCTCAGCAGCTCATGTTCCTCCACATCTCTGTTTTCACAGTATGGAATCGATGTCAAAGCAAAAGATAGTCAAGGCCAGACCGCCATGATGATCGCCAGGAAGAACGGCAGCAGAGGCTGCGCTGACATTTTGCTCCAACACGGCTGTTCCAACGAGACGTCCCCCATAACTCCCACTCCTGTCCTGTCCCGCCGGTCCAGCACCACCAGCCTGGGCCACAGCAGTTCCAGGAAGAAAGTGTCGTAGCGAGAAAGGAAGCTAACCCGACGCGCAGACAGGGCCGACCCTGGACACGGATGTATCTTATTAGAAATACAGGACTATATTACTGTACTGAGAAAATGCTTCTGAAGACTGAACAACATATCAAACACCTCTAAAGCAATATCCATTCAGTTTGTTGGTGACAGATATATTGCTGAAATACTGTGTTGTTGTTGACCTCATTCATAAATGACTCCAGTAGAACTCTGTAGCCGTCTTCTGTCACCTTAGAGCAGACACGCCGTCTGCTTTAGTTTCACTTCCTGCAGCAGAAGTGCAATAATCCTGCTATACCTGAACTGGGCCAAAAGACACAGCGTGGTGAGAGGACTACCACACACACACACACACACACACACACACACAGAGGACGGTGCTTTCCTTCACAGCCGCTGTGACCCCGGACCCCAAGAGCTTTCAGTTTTTTCTTTGGCTTTACAAGTACAACCTAAACCTACAGTATGTCATGTTGTTAGTTATGTGTGCCTGTCGCAGCAGTATAAAGGTCCGTTTCTATGTAAAATACAAATCAGCTTAGACTAGACTCAATGAATGGTTTGGAAAAATGAAATTACGTCGGTGTCATATGGCATTTTATGAATCTGTAAATGTACCTATACTATAGATATAGTCATGTTGAACTGTAACAAAGACACAACCGAAGAAACCAGACTCGATTTTGTAAATGATTTCCTACAGGTAGTTTTGAAAATGCGTCCGATTTGTTTATTCATCGTCTTTTATAATTTCCTAATCTCCGACATGTCATAAAAACACAAGTCTAAAGTTTAAAGAAAAGGTTCCACACAAGTAATCGTGTAGCCATTTGTTCAGATTCATACACATGATTCATACACACACTGTCTCCCAGCGTCGGCCGCTCCCATCAGATTAAAGTGAAGTTTTGACATGGTGGTATGGAGGGGCAGGGATACTTGCCTGTGTGAATCCATCATCAACTAAAACAAATGGTTACTGGAATAAAAAGAACTTTAAAAAAATTCATCTTTGTTGTCATTACTGTTTTGTTTCTCCCCCAAATCAGAATCTGAATATTTTCACATTAAAAGATTATTACATATCTATATTTTGCTAATTTTTGTCTTCAAAGTGACTATTTTAAGATAATCTTTACATGATTAAAATTAAAATAATATTATTTTATTATAAATAATAAATAAATATTATTTATATATAGTATAAATATAATATGTAAACTATTACGTGGTCCTCTACCTTTGATTTGACTTTGATCAGACTTTTCTGGATTTATTCAATCAGACGCCAGGGGGCGCCCGCGCCGCTTGCCTCGGTGACACGTCACCAAAACGCGACAGTCGAGAGGAGGCTGTTGAGTATGAATTTATTATGATGAAGTAACAACAGGGCATTTCAGGGAAAACAATTCGTGGAATTAAAAAAAAACTCCACCGCGACCGAAGTCTGTTAAAGGTAAGATCCGGAAACACTGCCGTGTGTGGAAACGGTGACGACGAAGCGACGAGTCTGTGTGTTTATCTGAGAGTCCAGTTAAAACTGGTCAAACACAGTGGTGGGATCAATAATTTGTTACCTGAGAATATAATAATTGTTACCTGAGAATTAAAACAACAACAACGACAACAACCTGAGGTCTTGTTTCTGCATTTGTACAAAATCGCATTCCTTTGACTGTGATGCGATTGTTTTACAATAACATTTATAGTAAATCACAGTTATAATAATTGTAGATCGTGATTCGCTAAATAAAAACACATATAAAAACACATTGAATGCTTTAAGTTTTTGTTTTGTCGTGATTAACGTAAAATAAAGTGTCGTAAACTAAAGGTAATAATAATAAAATTACTATTATTATTGAGTTTTGGTTGCATTATTAAACGTTTTCTCATTGCAAGTGTATATATTATTTAGAAAATATCCATACAACACATTATTATTTTTATTTTACACTGATACAATTGTTTAAATCGTAATGATAGTAATTTTAATTATAGTTTAAACTATAAAATATCTATATGTACATTTCCAAATAAATGTAATTTACACCCATAAAATGATACAAAAACTAATGTGAGACAGTTGTCTGTGGAGTATTTACCAAAACAAAAATGACTAGTATGCAGTACTGCAGTATGTTGACAGTTTTAGCTTTGTCATTGTTTGCTTTAACTCCATAACCATCTGACGTCGTCTGTTCTGTGTCAGTGTTCAGCTGTAAAGAAGAGCAGCAGGGATGAGGATCCGTCTGCAGGCGTCAGGTCACGCCGCCAGTCTCCTCACTGAGCTCAACTGCTGTCGTCAGTCACGTCAGTTCTGCGATGTCTTTCTACAAGTTGGAAACCGCACATTCCCAGCACACCGGGCGGTGCTGGCCTGTGCCGGGTCGTACTTTCGCAACCTGTTCGGCAGGACCGCGGCCTTGTCAAACTTCACACTGGAGTTTATTTCACCGGCCAACTTTGAGAAAGTTCTTACTTTCGTCTACACTGGAGAAATCCTGACTGATCTTATTGATGTGGGGGTCTTCTATGAGCTGGCCGAGAGGCTGGGGGTCAGTGAACTGGTCAGGGCGTGCCACGACATCTTCCCTGACATGCAGAGCTGTAAACCCAGCAGCGCCCACAGACTGGACTCCAGCTTGGCTGCTGCTACATCTTCAGGAGCTGTCGTCACGGCAGCTTCTGTATCTGCGGTGTCACTGTGTTCCTCGGACGCTTCCTGCTCTTCTCTGTCTTCATCTGCTTGTCTCTCTGCTGCTGCAACTCCTGCGGTTTCTTCCTCACCTCTCTTACCAGCCACGAAGGCCAGACCTGGCCAGGAAGCAGACTCTGGCCTTCTGACGTTGAACCTGAAGGTAGAAGATGTCCAGCCTCACATGACCTGTGGGCATGTGACGCCTGATCATCAGCTCCCAGCAGAAAACCTTTTACCCTGTGAGAGCAGCAGTGCTCTGCCCTCGGGTCTTAGTCTCCAGCTCAAGACTGAACAAGGGTTAGAGGACCAGTCGGCGGGCGTCAGCTGTGGGGACGGAAACTCAGATGAACAGTTGGTGTCTGGGGGGGTCCCTGTGCCTCAGAGCAGTGACCCCACTTCGTCCGTGTCATCCCCCTTCCCTGACTCTTCGGCACAACATGTTGCTGAGACCTGCACCCCGACCTCTTCCTCTAGAGAGCCTCTAAGCGGCCAGCAGCCTGGTGCAGTGGACGACATGATGGTGGACCTGCAGAAAGACCGTGGGCTGATGTTCAGGGAGGTGGGGGACAGGGAGAATGAGGGGAGGGAAGCTCTGCAGGGGAACGGACAAGTAGAGGGAGCAGAAGAGGAGCATTGGAGACACCTGGCTGATGAGATCATTGAACTGAGCGATGATGAGAACTTCATGGAAGGAGAAGAAGAGGACGATGACGATGACCTGGTTTGTGTGGAGAATGGAAGTGAAGGGAGCTCAGCCAATCAGGTAACGTCTGTGGTGGTAAACAGAGGTGGAATATTTGCTTTGTGGTTCAACTAAGTCAAACAAACTTTGACGTCCTCAGGTGTTTGACTAGTTGTCCAACAGACATGTCATCATGATCTAAACGCAGACTTTGTTCTCTGGTCCAGGTCTCCGGGGACATGCTGTCATGTAAAGTCTGCGCGGTGCCACTCCCAGCAGACCCTGCCGCCATCAGACGTCACGCCGACACGCACCTGACCGAGCACGGACTCTGCAGGGTGTGTGGCGCCTCCTTTCCAGACCGTGCAGCTGGGGACGCCCACTCCCTCTCTCATGTGGGGGTGCAGCTCTTCACCTGTGACATGTGTCACCTGCAGTTCTGCAGCCAAAACAAACTGCTGCGTCACCACCACCAGTCCTCCTCTGGTTACACTATTCCTCAGGCCGCACTCATCAACAGCAGCAGCAGCGGCGGCGGCGGCGGTCTGGGCCGCAGCTCTGAGCTGCAGTGTGCTGTCTGCACCAAAACCCTCAGCAAAGACTTCCAGGTGAGTGGACACTTAAAGGTACAATACAGGATTTTTTGGTTTGCCAACAGTGGAACTGCATTCAGCGGTCTAAAGACATCCATCCACCGTGTCCTGGTACTAGGAAATCAAATTAAAGTCCAAGGCTCGTCTTCTGGTGTTTTCTTTAACAGCTTGTGTCCTAACAGAATAAATCTTCCAGTTAGTCCGACTCCTGTCTCCATTCCTGATGTTGCCGTATTTTCCGGACTATAAGTCGGTGCGACTTGTATATTAAAATATATAATTTCACATGTTTGCTATTTTCACACTGACAGCCACTAGAGGGCACTGGTGCGACGTATGCTCCAGGTCGACTTATAGGCCAGAAAATATGGTAATTTGCTATCTATGTTGTGAGAGCCATAACATTTAGATTAATAAAACTGATAAACATTACTTAGTTCAGTCATATATATATATATATATATATATATATATATATATATATTTATACACATCAGTGAGCCTAAGGTTGAACTACTGCGTCCAATGTGAAGTTTGTAACTTTTCCTGTTTTTTTTCTTTAATAATCTGAATTGATCTCCAAATCCTTAAATATACCCTGATTTCCCTGGACTAGTGGTGGGAGTTGGTACTTGACGGAGAAGGGATTTCACCTTCTACCAGCTGCCATTACTCTCCCTGTTGTCTTCTCTCCTCTCTGTCAGACTGTCACCATCTGCTAAACCACGTGTGTCCTCAGAGCCTGAGCTGCGGAGTTTGTCACCTCCCCCAGCTCTCCTTCTGCTCCCTGTTGTGGCACGCCCTCACACACCTCTCTCTGCCCATTTTCACCTGCCCACATTGTGCCCGCTGCTTTGTAGAGCGCCCTCAGCTGGACAGACATATGACTGCACATGCTGAGGAGGCGGCCGCAAAAGAGAGGGAGCGCCTGGAGCTGAGGCTATTCGGAGGAGCCAGGGGAGGAGAAGGAGCGGGTATGGCACCCCTGGAGGAGTTTATTTGTTTCCTTTGTGGAAAAACATTTCGCTCCTATTCTGCGTTTGAGGACCATCAGAGCCTGCACACCAACGAGCCTTCGGGGAGCGGATTAGGTTTCAAGAGCCAGAGTTTGCTTGGCAAACGTAAGGCTGACCAGTCTGTGGAGTGTCCTCCTTCCTCTAGCTCCTCCTCCCCACGGGACGTGAGTGGCGTGGTTAAAATAAGCAACATGGGTTTGCAACTGGGGATGGGCTTCAGTTTACCGGACACGTTTTTTCCTGGGCAACTCAACAGCTTGTCCTCTGGGGTCACCTCCAACGGTACTTTGGGACAGAAGGGGGCAGTAGCTGCAGCAGGAGTACGTGAAAAATGGTACCGTTGTCGCTACTGTGGTAAACGGTTCGCCCACTCAGGGGAGTTCACATATCACCTACGCATCCACACCGGGGAGAAACCCTACCAGTGCAAGGTGTGTCTGCGCTTCTTCAGAGGCCGCTCCACCATGATCTGCCACCTGAAGACACACGCTGGTGCGCTGATGTACCGCTGCACCGTTTGTGGACTTTACTTCTCCACTCTGAAGCTGGTGTCGTCACATATGGAGCTCCACAAGGACCACCTTCCACCAGACTTCAACATTGAGCAAACGTTCATGTACAACGATCACTCAAAAGAACCGCTGCCTGCCATCGACACCTGATTGGCTGGGAGTTGACCTCGAAATGTTCTTTTTAAACTCGAGAAAAATAATATATCTGAATCCTTGTTATAAGAAAAAAGAATAATATAGTCAAGTTCCTGTTTTGTGAATACTTCGGCTTCCAGTTTTCTGGGTTTTATCCAGAAATTGTAGCATAAGGTTAACGTCTCCAGAATTTCACTGCAACCCTACATTATTTTATAACAATACAAAATATAAACACCTTCAGACAGGCATTTTAATCTATCAGCTTTTAAGGTTCTGTGAATTTTAATTCAGCCCTGAACCCTCAGAATGGTTAAACCCAAGTGAAAGAAGTTGGTGCTTGAATAAGTTAAAAAAGAAAGTCATCGGATTTACAAAATGTAATTCCTGGACCAAGAAACAATGGTCAGAGAGAACCGTTTCTGAAGACTGTAATGAATCTTGAATCTTAAACAAATATCAAAAGTAGCCACCTGGGGGCATTGTTTCCGCCTTTGTGTCAGTAAAAGTGGGGATAACTTCCCCGCATTTATTCTCAAAAGGGATGTTTTAAAATTTTTATTTGATTAAAACCTTATTGTAGCACACACACATTTTCTACTATTTTTATTCTCTCTTACATTTGATGTCACGGACTGTCCTGAATGTGAAACCTGTTTTGTGGATCCTAAAGTTCAGTTGTTGTTCACTGGAAGACGGAATTTATTACGTACAGAATGTATTGATGATTTTTGTCACCGAAACAGTAGCAATTATTTTTCATTCTGAAGCGGCATCTTTGTTCGGTCACCCATTGTGTACGTTCTTGTTGAAGGTGTGTATGTGTATGTGTCATATATGTGTCTTAAAAGTATTTATTTTTTATTTTTAAATAAACACTGCCGGAAAGACCGTTATCATCACCCCTTCATCCGTGTTCCACTTTTATAGGGTTAGTCCTCCACTGTAAAGTTTTTTCCATCATCAGGATCTCACTGATGAACTACGTCCCCCTCTGGGGTCACATGACCTTTGCCCTTTTGCAAATCCTGGTCTCTTCCTGCTATTGTGTTGTGTGTGGCCTCTTGTCCCGTTCTCTCCTTTTCTTCCTTGTTATTGTACAAAAACACACATTCCAAATGCAAAAGAAGTTGAGTTTTTTTCTAACATATCAGCCAAATGTTTTTTTACATTTTTATTTATTTTATATATTTGAACAATACTCATAGACAACAGCAGCGTCCAGACACAGATAAATGGCAACTGTGATTTATCTGCTCAGAATAAGAGTCAACTCTGTTTGGTTACAACCTGCATTCCATGATGGTGATAAAGATATGAGGGCAGTTCTTATCTGGTACACAGCGGAGCAGTAGATTTGTTTACACACATTCCTGGTGTGGAACGGTTCTTTCCTCCATGCCATCACTTTGGCACGTTTTGCTGTGGGAGATGAACAGCTCTGTGGAGCAGTAACAAACATCAAACAACTCCTGATTTTCTCTGTTTACGGTTCAGATCAGAGATGTTGGAAAAGCCAAGAGAAGAGAAAAGCGTTGAAACCGTCTGTTGCCTTACACACACAGAACAATGACTCCGTGACTGAAAGGAGAAGATACATTGCAATAGTGGAAGCAGATAGGCTTCAGTCTTGTCCTGAAGTGACATCTATTATTTCACCTCCTTCTTATGATTCAACATCAGACTGACTTGTGCTGGTGTTACTTAACTTGCGCTGCTTCCCTGGCTCTGTCCCAGCTCCGTTTACCTGATGGTGTTGATTCACTGCTGCCATTTGGTCCACAGTGACCTCTCTGGGGATGTGACTCAACACTTTGTTGAACAGATTGTTTTTAAAGCTCTTGCTCAGAAAGTTGTAGAGGATAGGGTTGGCGATACAGTGGAAAAGAGACAGACACTCCACCACGTTGTAGGTGTACAGGAGGACCAGGACTGCGTTGCAGGAGAGGATGTAAGGATCATATTCGTCTATGACCAGCAGCCACACGATTAAGTGATATGGCAGCCAGCACATCACAAACACCAGAGAGTACAGATGCACGAGCCACACGTCCCTGCTGCCTTGAACATCCGGAGCCGTCTTAACGGCTCGAGCGATCAGCACATTACACGTGATGATGACAGTGCCGGGTAATACAAACTGGAACAACAACGACAGGACAGACAAAGTGATGGACCATTCGAAGTAGTTGTGCGCTGGGAAAATGAAGCAGCCCGGTTCATTCACACCCAAGAGCTGCACATGAATGTTCTCTAGCACAGTTAAAAAAAAAGAAAACAGCCATAAACCTGCACAGAGAACCCAGCGCCGCTTGCCTGTCACGGGAAACAAGGCCGGAGACGAGGGTCTAATCAGGGACAGGTAGCGCTCCACGGTCATAGCGGCCAGGAAGAAAGTACTGCTGTAGAAGTTAATGGAGTAGATGAGTTTGGTGACCCTGCAGAGGAAGTGGCCCCACAGCCAAACGTAGTCTATCGCCGCCTCCAACATGAAGAAAGGCTGGATCACGATCACCATCAGGTCTGAGAGGCTGATGTTGATGATACAGAAGAGAACCCCGTTAGCTGCATGTCTGCGTCCCCAGTTGACCCAGACGACCAGCAGGTTCTCCAGTAGACCCACCATGAAAACAAACAGGTAGATGAGGAAGAGAGCCACGCGCCTTTGGTTGTCGTCCAGGTTGATGTTGCAGTCCCATAAATACGGTATTGTGCTGTTCCAGTAGTCGTCTGTGTGGTCGTACTCAAACGAAGTCATGGTCTATAGGGGGAAAAGAATCTGGTCAGAATTTAGATGAAAAGTTTTTTGGCTGTTGGAAAGCTGTTGGCCTTGGAAAGGACTGCAGGCGTACGAACTGTGTTGTTGAGACCCCTGGTTAGAAAAGGCAGGGACGACATGATTTTCAGAAAGCTTTATTTCATAAAAGTCTATTTTTAGGATGTTCTTTTGCATAAATATTTACATACAAATATAAAGTCAACACTGTCCTGCTGGTTTGTCATATAGTTTTCCTTGTTAAAAGCCACACATGATCAACCTTTCTAAACAAAAACCTGGTATTTTCTATTTATTAGCCACAATAGTGTCAAACACCGCCCTTAATAAAGACTTGTATGAATTATACATGTTAGTGTAACCGACATATTTATGCACAACAACATAATTTCCCCCTCCATATTAATGATAATTAATAATAATAATTTGAACTTTATTTAGCAGATCTGCTGCTAAACATGTGGTTCCTCTGGGAATCAAACCCAGGACCCTCTGCTCCAGATGCAAACCAGAAGAGTGCTTGGCAGCTTACCACCAGCTTTATAATAAACATTTTTTTAAACATCTAAGTAAAAAAAAAACTTACCTTGTTGTGGTGATGAAGATGGTGGAGATGAAGAAGAGGAGGTTCTGCCTGAGGCCTTGGAAAGGACTGCAGGCGTACGATGAGCCCTAATGTTATGAACTATCTGAGGAATTAGCCTGGAGTTTCTACTCTCCCATTTATCTCTAACACACACACACACACACAGTTTTAACAGGACATCCTCAGTAAGTGTTAGGGAGTGGCATGACTGGAAGTCCATTCAGAAAGAATGTGTGCAACAAATGTGAAAATGTGACGGTGTGAAAAAAAAGTTTCATTGAGAGCAATTTAACTTGTGAAGCAGTTCTGACAACATGTTATCTACACGGTCCAGAAACTGCAGACTAAACAGGTTCTAAGAATCACAAACTAAAGAAACTGGAATCTATACAAATAAATATGTGGCTAAGGTTGAAAGATTCAACAAACATAATCAAAACTCAAAATCATAATCTTATCATGTCAATAAGCAACAATTCAGTACAAGGTAAGCTTCACAATTTTTTTTTCAATATAAAACACCAATTCTGTATTCTCAGTATCTTTGAGAAATAAAGGCAAACAGAGGACAAATGATTTGTTTTTTGTTTATAAAATGCAGATTAAAGATTAGGATTAAATGAATGTGCTACAATTTGACCAAAGATGTGAACGTAAACCAATGAACTGTACAGGGTGCTTTTCACACCCCCTTCCACCCTCCACCCCCTGCCAACACCCACCCACCCTGCAGGACTGACTCCAGCCTTATCCACTGCACTGTTGTATCAGTGTGTGGTACATGAGGAAACACAGAACGTTAGTGTTGGCCAGGTTCCAGTGCGATGACAACTGAATTGTTTCTAGAACTTCACTGTCAGCACTTTGAGACTCATCTTCATCTGCCTCACTGTTCTTCCTGTCCTAGCTCTATTGTTCATCTCTCATCAGTTTTTACTAAAACATTTAGGAACCAGTCAGCAAGTTGTGTCTCTTCTAATGAAACAGGAAAAAGGAAGGAACAAGTCAGCAGAAATGCATCTTTTGGGCAGGTTTAGACAAAAAGCAGGCTGTGACCCCCAACATGTTGTTATCTGGGACTGACAACAACTGTTAAAGACAGACGTTTCTGACCTGCTCAACTCACCCTTTTAGGTTAAACAAATTATTTAGTGGGTGAGATTTTATTTTATTCCAAGAAACATCACAAAGTTGTTTTTCTTCTGTGTAACCAGTAAATTGGTCCATTAGTACTGTCAAAAAAATATTTAAATCAAAAGATCTGGGAGAGGAGCACATCCTCTGTGCTCCATTCAAAACATGGAGGGTTCTGGTCCAACACCACAGCTTAAAGCTGAAGTTGAATTCATCAGAATATTAGACAAAAATTCTCAAACAAACATGCCTTTCTCTACATTGTCCATAAAGTCAGTAAGCTGGGTTCCCATTGTATAATTTCTTCTTTGTAGAATTCTGAATGATGAAAGGAAGTTCAAATAATGAATCACACATTCATCAGTTTTTTGTAAAATATATTTTTGGTCCAAAAAGTGATTTGCAGAAGTACAACATATGCATCCGTCGCTAAGCATACAGTAATACAGAATACAGTAGAACAGTACACTAAGAACACTACTCATACATTGGAGTGTTGAAATTTCAACACTCCACGGAGTGTTGAAATGTGGTGTTATTTTTGTAATATTTTAACACAGTATCCTAGTTATAATACATTTGTTGTACAGGCAACAGCTTCAAATCTCAGACATTTCATTCACTCTCATCAAAATAATGTCGTTAGCTTACATTTCAGTTTTATCTTAGAATCCACTGCGTGGAGGTTAGTGGAATGCTGGGTAATGTTCTTCTTCATATATGTACTTAACAACAAACACTCAAGCATTGCTTTTTAAATTAAATTCTAGTTTAGTCTACTATGAGTAGAAGACTATGTTTACAGGCCAAACAACGAGATTCAGTCTTTATGAAAACTCATTTACTCCTTTTATTAAATCAACTCCTTTGACATACATTTATTTCGACATTTAGGTGAGACTACTCAACACACTTCAAGTAGTTATTTGAACTTACTTTACTAACAACTGAAGTTTGTTTCCGTTTGTTTTGAACAACACAGAAGTGTACAGTCCTTCTTAGGCTGCGACTCCAAACATTAAAAAAACAAAAAACAAAAAAACATGAGACTAGACAAATATGTTTGCTTTACATTAATGTGTTTTTTATTAGCAACAATTCAAAACATGGACAAACATGGTCCAGAATATTCTTCAGAATATCCTCAGAGGGACTGCACACTTGAAAATGTTTATTAGACGGTAGCGTTTTTCGTGTTCTCTTATTTAATAACAAATTAAACCATAGAGAGCAAAACACAAGGGCCATTCTATTTTCTACTAATTATTGCTTATATCAATGTGTATTTTTACCGTCCACTGCTTAAGCTGTGTTACTTCCATGAGCCACAGTCTACTAGCAGAGGCGATGCTAACTATCAATTTTACCTTTAGAATGCGCTGCGACACCACTTCCGTGACGCAACGTCATGTGCTACGTTATACGTTGATTGGCTTGCTAGGGGTACATGTAGTTTAGCTGATTAACATAGCCATTTATTTAAGGGTCATATTGTTGAAAAGTATTATATTTCTAGAGCTGTCAATCGTAAAACGCCAAGAAAGTTAGATTATGTCAGCAATACGATGACTGTGGAATGTCTAGGAGGCGGGTGCGGTGCCAGATGACCGAAGGTACCTGTGTTATTAGCTTGACAAAATGGCGCTAAAAACAATTTGTAAATTCGTCACGCTAGCTCCGGACTGACAGAAAACTAAAAGAGCGAAGTGACAGTAAGTCCTGAGTATCTGTCTTTTTTTTAAGTTAAGTTTTGTTAGGCTGATTACACTGTGACAAGAAAAGGACTTAACAGAAAGCAGAATTTAGAAATAAATTTAGTGAGATAATAGCTATTCCACGCGCTTCTTCATATACATATATGGTAAAACTCAGTACGAAAATCTCTAAGAACTTTATAAGAAGTTTAAGTTTCCCTGACACCCACAGTCTGAAATCTTCGTCTACACTTTATTACTTCATTATGTAGTGACTACGTCCGCTACCAAAGTAGTTGTGACTAGGAGTGGCTTAATCATAGGTCTTGTGTCAGTAGTCAGCAAAAATGACTAGACATAAATACTGTGAAAAGAAAAGTTTCAGCCAGCCTTCATTTAGTTCCGTAATTCTTATTTAATATTATATTAAGTATAAAAACACAAGTATAATGTGTAAAGTCTTGTGTTTCAGATTCATTTGAGCTCCTGGGCTCATATTTCCAGTGCTACTGCTCAACTAAGGGTGCTATTACATGAGAACTGTTTGGTCAGCTTTAAATGGTCCAGATTCCGGTTTCTCAGTTTACATCTCGGTCCTCTTGCCATCTGAAGGCATAGGTGTGTTTGCAAGTTAACCCTAATGCAGTTCGCTTACAGTAGAAAATACGTACGTACTATTCAGCAAACCAAAGAGAGGAAGAAGACTTAGTGATATACAGTGTAGTGAAGTCATTTTGCATAGAAAAAGCAGTGGGTAATCTAAGGAGAGGTAAACAAAGAAAGACATGGGAAATTTCCCTTGGCCAGACAGTAGTGAGGAGGTGAAGGTTCTTGTCGATATGTGATCAGAGGACTACTCTGACTTCTTTACCTTTCTGGTCACTGAAACGTTTTTGGTAGCAGCTGCTGTAACTGCCTGGACTTGTCCAGCATGTTTGTTCTGGCTTCAAAAGTTCAGTGTAAAAGTAAACCAAGTCTAATGCTTGTGTTACATTTTTTAAGTTTGGACTATTCTAATCAAACCATCATGTTGAATATTCTGGGCTAAAACCAGTTGTATGTCTCTGGGATATTATCTGTTAAATGGTGTCAACAGACTGATCTAGTGTTGAATATAAAAAAACAACAAAGTTTCTAAAAAAAAAAAAAATCTATTGAACATTGTAAAGTGAAATGAAAGTTTGACCCAAAGAATTTCATTGACCAAGAAAACAGCTGCTGACCAAGCTGTTTCTAAGTACCATATTGCTTCAGAATGTTATATATTAATTTAATAATTTGAGAAATGCATCTTAAACATTTAAAATAAATATATGCATCAGAAGTATTAAATTACACTGCAGCAAATAAATTAATATTCACGTGGGTGCCAACTTTTCTTTTTGTGAATGGAAAGTTCTTTTTTTAACGATTGAATGAAGGAATGTATGGCAGTGTTATGCAAAAATGTTTGAAATGAAGTCACGGAATCGTTTGGCGTACTGCTCTGGGTGGACAGTGGAGATTTCAGCACCAGCCTACAACAAAGACACAAGATGAAGTAGGATCAGAAGAAATGTCAACAATATATTGTTTACACCAGAGCTTGTGAGCGGTATATTAGTAGAACAGGAAGCAAATGAGTTTGGTAAGCAAGAAGCAGCCAATCACAGCTGTCCTGTTTACTAACATGCTATAGTCTACACACAAAAGATTCTATGATGCAAGAGTAAACATCAAACAGTTTGTCATCCATGCAGGTACAAGTCGGTACTTTGATTGTCTGACACATTCCCTCCACCCCTGTCCTATAACTCACCCCGTGTTTGACAGTTTTTGCTGCATGGGCAGCTTTCTTCTTGGTGTCGTACTGAGTCAGAACATCAATCAGGCCCATGAAATAGACCTCCCTCTGAGGAGCTCCTGTAATGAAAGGCAGAGAACAAACCGGGTCCATTCACTAGGCTTGACAATGCAGCTGAAGGCATCATCAAAAGAATAGCCCTGAGATTAAAGCCTCCACAAACACATCAACACCTCTTCAACTGCATTGCTGCATCCACCTGAATGACCTTGATAATAATAATGATAGCTGCCCAAAATATAAAGAGAAACTATTGCTTTATCTATGAGAGTGATGAGTTCCAGCACCTGTGTGTGTGCAGATGGAGTGTCCATCTTTAAACAAAAAACAAAAAAAAAAACAGTCGCAGATGGAGTGTCCATCTTTAAAAAAAAAACAAAAAAAAAAACAGTGTTTTTTTTTTTTTTTTTTCTTTAGGTCCTTACCAGCGCAGCTTTTAAGCGCATACACATCCACATAAGGGTCAAACTCTCCAGGCCCGAGTGGTTTGCAGGATGCCATATATCCAGCGATTCCCTCTGGAGAGGTGCCATAGGATCCCACTGTGGGGCCAAGACTCAGGCCGTTCTCTGTTTCCTGTTCCTCCTCGTGGGAAACCTCCTCACCCTCCTCCTCCTCCCGTTCAGCTCGGCCCACGTCGTGAATACCCAGTAGCAGGCTGTAGTCCATGATCTTCAGCTTCACCAAAAACTGCAGAGGTAAATATAAGGACAATGTTTTTAATCAGAGTCTATCACAATATGCAAGATCAGTGTTTTCATGTCTCAAAAATAGTGTTTAGTTAATGGCTGAGTGTCAATGGATGTGAATTCTTGCCCCTGAATACTGAGCCCTGATGCAACGGAGAGAAAAAGACAAAGTGACGAGGATGTGGCACACTGTCATAATTTAAAAACGGGCCAAAACTCATTTTCCTTTAGCACTGAAATTCCAAATGCCATCATTTTTATAATAATCTCTCTTGAACTGCATTCACGTCTAAGCAGCCTCTATAACAGGATCGTGGTGGTACAATCACAACCTTCAAAGAGAGGTGACTTTGGCTTAGTGAAGTGTTTTGTATGAAAGATAATATTTCTGAGCAGCAGAGTATGAAATAACAGACACAGGAGCATGAGGACAGTGAGGAGAGCATGAGCTCATAGCAACAAGCTCAAATGCTAAATCACAAGAGTTTCATCCTCTCGACCTGATTTAAGAAATGATTTATATCAATTAACTTAAAAATGGTTTAACTAGGGATATTTACTGGAATTTTATAATAAACTGTTTTTCACTAATATGTCGTTTGATTTTGACATTTGATTTAATTCAGTTCAATTTTGTATCCAATTTATCTCTCATTGCTTTACTTTAATTTCAAACCATACCCTAGTCACGGTGACGATAATTCCCACCAATGACAATGGCGCCCCTTTGTGGTCAACGTTTGCAATAACAGGTTATTTACAAGTTATTTACCTCCACATCTCGGTTAAGTTTCTCCATGAACTTTTCCTTCTGCTCCTCAGTCACATAAACTTTCTGCATGTTGTTCCTGAAGTCCTTGTCTTTGAAGGTAGGGAGCTCTTTGACCTTGGACAGAATTGTTTAGAGACATCCATGAGAGAACACTTAAAAAGGGTTTATTTAAATGAATGGTAGACAAAAACATCATCAAGTCACCCTTTCCTTGTCACTCGCTTCACGATCCACCAGAGAGCCCTGGGAAAATAGTGGGAAAAAAATTGCAGGAATTATAGGAATGTCAAATATTAAAAACTTGCACCAGTGCACATTTATCACCATTACATCTCCCTCAAGTTTAACACAGTCTTTATGTTTTTTGGGAAGTATGCTAAAAGGTCCGAATGATTACCACAAAGTTCTTCCTTACCTTTAGGTCGTACTTCCTGTGCACCAGCAGTCGGTGGCTGAACATGTTTCTCATGGCGATAAGGTAAGTCTCCTCACTGTCAACGCTCACACGGTACATACCCAGGAACTGTGGCAGCAGGGTGCTGCCATGACACTTCACTATGTGCTGAAAAAAGTGGACTTTCATTTTAAATATAAACAGAAAGCATCACCTAACTCTTACGAATTGTATTGTAACACAGCAATGTTACAGAGTACGTATCAGGTCTTTGGATGAGCACATTTTTGGGTATCAATACAAGTATGTGACCATTAACACCAAGTTTAATTTGGAACAACAAACCATATGCATGTGCCTACATTTCCTACAGGCTCCAATGCAAATGCAGAACTTTGACAATGTCTATAATTGAGATCATCTAAGCACACCATCTCAATTTTAACTTTTGTCATGACAATGAAGGAGCACTCAAAGTAGAAATTTGATGCAGTGCACTCCAACCTGTAAACCTGATCTATGTGGGAAACTACTGTGCCAACGCAGACACTGGACAACAAAGATTTTACTCAGCGCCAACTAAATAAATATGCACACTGTGAAACAGAGCTCCCATTTTTCTCATCCCGCTCTCACTTTAATGTAGGCAGTGCAACCACAGGCCACACATTCCAATAAGAGCCTGGATCAGCCCAACTCTGTAGCATGTTTAGCTTGAAGTAAGACCTACTTATTCAAGTACCCACTAGATGCAGCTATGCTTACCTATAACCCTTAAACTGTCATATAGTCACAGACTAATCACGGGTTTGTGATGAGCAAAAAGTGTGTCATCTTTGCTTCCCTATTGTTTCCATAACTGTAACATTTTTACATAGATGTGCAGATATGACTGTTCGACCAATGGGGGATGTTGTTCTGTGGTTGGTGCTGGCAAATCGACCAATGGAGAATGTTGTTCTGTGGTTGGTGCTGGCAAATGCTATGACTGCAGTTCACCTTTTTTTCCCCCTCTATCAACCCTCACGTACAGTAGAGGTTGATTTTCAGGTTAGGCAGCAGCAGCTTTGAGCCTCATTTGGTGTCTAGGACAAAACACTGTCAGGTCTACTCTCTTGCTGCTCACTGAAATCCCTCTGTTGCTCTAAAAATACCCATATCTGGGTTAATGTTGTTCACCTGTGGCTAAAATTACATAAAGAAAAGAGGCAGAGCTCAGTTTTAGGAGATGCTATTAATAGCCCAATTTTTGCAAGAGGGCATAACACAGTGGTTCCCAATGTGGGGAGCAGACCCCGTTTAGGAGTTGTGGAGCATATGCAAGTGTGTTGATGTATGATGTAGATGACATCCTTTCTGGAACATTACATTTCTTAATTAATTAACAAGTTTAATGTGATTTTGCCCTTACCTGGTGATACTCAGACAGGATGCTGTGCATGTCTGCAACATCCTCACTGGAGATTTGCTTGATGACCAGTGTTCGGTCGTATGAGTTGAGCAGAAGACTCTCTCCCTGGTCGTCTACAGACCTCATTGGCGGGCTGCGTGTTAATGACACCTGCAAATAACAAAGGGCATTTTCATAACCAGATGAGTACTCAAACCCTTTACAGCCTACCAGGATCAGGATTTAAAATTACTAAAACAATTAGCAGTTAAACAGATAAAAAGACACTGTATGGTAGAGAGATCAATTCATCAGTGTCAAAGTAAATGCATCAGAATAATTATATACGCTTGACTAAATATTAACGCTGTCTAATTACACATCACAAACCTGATAGTCTAGGTCCTCAATACCAAACCGCTCCCTCAAATTTCTGAAGACCTGAGGGCAGTATTCTTTGAACTTGAAATGTCCTGGAAGGTTTTCTCTGCACAGATAGGGAAACATTCACAAAGGTAACAATTAGTACTAGTGTCCGTTTGTGAAATTTGCTTTGCTCACGTGATAAAGCATTATCTACTGTAATTCCTAAATTAAATAACCTTCAATATCACCTACCACCTGTCCATAAATGGGGCATTACACTGTTGTAACATTTGGTACACTCAACAGTAAAACAGAACCTGGGCCTTACTTGTTAAATAGGTGGTTGTTGACTTTGATTTTGGTGTTGGCCTTGAAATCATCAGGCAGCAGCATGACAGGAACAGGCACCTGGTTCAGATCATTTATCTGCAGAGAAAGGTATTCATTGAAACACTCGGTGGGATTCTGGGATTGGCTCCATCCCATTCAGTGGTAGAAGATATATGAATGTATTATACTGAACACTGTACTTTCTATGCATCTCACAGACGTGAAAAGCCTTTGTTATGGCCCCAACTATTTATGATGATGTTGGACAAAAATGTTGTCCTAAAATCTTAAATTTTATTTTTTGTAGTCAATTTTTCCCAGATATACATTGTTGGAGCAATATTTTAAAAGTCCAACAATGACCATTGTGAACTTGCGTGTAGAGTAATGCGAGATGATGCGACACCTGCTGTACTGCATTCTTAAACGATCAGATTATGTTAAGTGAGATGAAGGTACAATATAACTTCTTTTTACTGTACCTGGTAGCTTACTGTCTTGACTGACATCTCTTTCTGTTTTTGCGAATAAACCCTTGAAACATCAGGTCTTGGTTACTACATTATACGGTCAACCATGTAATTTAGTAAGTAATTCCGTTACGTTAGTTACAAGTATTTTTGGGAACAGTATGAAATATATGAACTTCAATGATCGTAAGTGAAATAATGTAAAAAACGAAAATTGAATCGAATGAATCTAGGGTCGACTTTTATTTACACGAATTGTACAAGAATCGAACCGTGATCCCAGGAATGAACATGTGTAACCAAAGTCAAAGTACTCTTCGAAAGTTACTTAGTTAAGGTCCTTAGGTAGATTCGGAGAACATTTAAAGTTTAATGACGTACACGTTTCACAGCCACGGGATTTCTGATTGACTGCAGAAAGGACGGGACAGAACACGGTGTTCATAGGAAAGAGAAGGTGACAGTAATGCAACCTGATGGTCGCTGCTTGTTAGAAAACACCAATAAAACAACGACAATGAGAAGAATGATCACGGATCGCAATTATTTTAGTCATAATACTTGTAACATCTCATTTTCATTTTGCTCTGTAGTTTTAGGGCCTTGTCAGTGCCGTTTGTGTGGCAGAACCAGAAAGAATAAACAGTGTTGAACAACCGTTAGCTCTGTTGCTAACTCGCTAACCAGTGACACACGTATTGAAACGTAGGCTACTCTACTCACCGAGTGGTTGACGCCCCACATAAAGACGCTCTGGACTGGGTCGCTGGCCCGGAACACCTTCACCTTCTGCTGAACGAAGTGTTTCTTTTTAGTTTTGGTCTTTGGTGCTAGGATCACCACAGGACTGGAAGTGGCTCCTGAATTACTGAGGGAAGCCATGACCGAAGACCGTAGTTCTCTCCTCGTCCCCTCACGAAAGCGCTGTGACACGCACGGCGGCTCTCTTAACAAAAACCCGAAGTTAGTTACTAAGCTTGTTTGTACCACCGCCGTCCTCTGTGTCTATCACAGTGAGTGACAACTAAAGGTCAGTCGTAAAACACTGACTCTCTGTTAACGTTTAAACTACTGCGCCGAATCATTCAATAACAACATTCACACCATTTTCCCTCTGACAGTCCACAACGGACCCCTAGAGTCCATCCGTGTTTTTACAAACCACGTGGTGAGGGTATGATTGAAAGGTGTCAGAGGCCAATTAAATGATTCTTCTGCACCAGCTGACCTCCGGTGGGTGGTGCGTCGACGGTTCATGGTGCGTTTAAGTTAAAAATCATATTGGGAAATGTAAAATCTTAAAACGTTAGTTACAAATGTGGCGGAGTTTGGAGTCTTTTAGTTATTTAGGTAAGTTACTACAATTCAAATACACTACCTCCCCCTTTTCTTACTTTATTTTAAGTATTTTAAACTTAAACAATTCTCTTTACTCTTGTAGTATATGGAGGCAAAAATAAGTGTAAAAGAGTCACATTTGCATTTGCATGTGATTCACTGTATAACATTTTACAGTCCAATAAAAAGTGTTTTAAAATACTCCTCGTATTTATTCCTCTGACTAAATATGTAGGAGAATATACTGATGCTGTCGGTGAACATTACAACACAAAAGGCATACAGTTTGCTTCTGAGCTCCAAAATAACATATTAAACATAAAAATATTTAATGGTGTATTTACAGATTTATCTTTGAATAATTAAAAATATTTAATGATGTATTTACAGATTTATCTTTGAATAATTGGAATAATGAATTTTAAAAAGATCAAATTCTATGTGTAGACTGCACACCAGACCAGACCCAGGCATCAGTAAAAATCATAAAATCTAAATGGAAAGTGCATACAAATGGCTTAGATGGAGAAGTGGCATTCTACAAAGCATAATGTATTATTTCTGCAAGGCCTTCACTTTCATGATGCATGGACAAAAGGGTAATTCTGTCCTGTTACCTTGGAAACAGTCATGTCCCATTGTGGGGAAGAGGAAGAGCATTAGCTTTCCTGTGCCTGCTAATGGAAGAAAGCAGCATGAAAGTAATGGGTTTCAAACTGTAATTTCTGTTTCCCTGCAAGAAAACCAACAGAGTGACTACAGAGGTGTTTAACACACTAAATGAACATAAGGTCTTGAAACAAGTTCCCAGCCAAACATCCTGTACCAGGAATACAGATCTTCCAATCATTTCTATTGGGTTAACTGAATTGCTTTCTTTTGTCAATATTATAAATGAATATCATTAATAGAAAAACCTTTTCTTGAGAGAGATGAAAGAAAAATCTACCAGTGACAAAACTAACCAGTAGGTGGCAGTATTCCAAATCTTAGGATAAAGAAAAAAACTGTTTTTAAAACTAACACATGAAGAACAAAGTTGTATTTAGCAATGGATCTATGACAAGCCTAGAAATGATGATTAAAATGCATTTTTTGCAAACATTTTTTCATGGATAATATGGGTTCCAATGTGTGTTCAAAACAAGTTCTAATTTTAACACTGTTTTGCATTTTCTTATTGTTATTGGTAACAACAGTATTATGGTATAACAATTACAGGCTATTTTAATTTTATATTGTATTGAATGACTTCTAAACAAAAACATTTGACCAAATCAGTGTTTTATTGGAAGAAAAACTCAAAACAATACTTGTAATAATATATGTTTTATTCTTCTCCATTTATTACTATTATTTCATAAGTTTATATTTGCAAATCTTAAGGTCCTTTGTGCATGGACCTATCATCACAGCACACACACACACTCACGCACACACACACATTGGCACAACAAGATTGGTCAGAAATAGATAAATTCTACTCACACTTCAAGAGCACACAATTTCATGACTTTTGCAAGGACTTGGGAAAGACATACTATAACAATAACACATTTGATTGTTTCCCCCTCTATTGAAATAAGAGTTTATTGTTTGATGCACCAAAATAAAACAGCATTTTCATATAAACAAAACATAAATAAAAACATAAGTAAACACATAAGGTATAACCATAAGATGTACAGCAGTTAATAGAATAGAGCTCTGATGAATGTGAAGTGACGTTTTGCCATACTGAAGTGCAGCACTTCCCCTAACATGAAATAAAATAACCTCTGTCTTTAAATAAGAAACTGCTGACAATATAAAAATACATGGCATTGTACTGTAGTTCATTAAATAAACCAACAATTTATATATAAAATATTATATTGACGTGTATAAAAATATGCCTTACAACTTTTTGAAAAGGGTAACAACCATAAGCTTTTGTCCACAACTTAAACACACAAAAATTAAACATATGTACAATCAACTTACAGGCAGTCACACAAATAAACAACTCAAATGAACAGGAGCATCAGGATCATGTTCTTGTGTCTATGATTTCTGTCTTAACATTTATACCAAGATACCTAAAGCACAAAGCAGTATTTGATGAAAAAAAAATAAATTAAAAGAAAGGAAATATTTTGTCATTTAGGTATGTTGATGTCAGTGTATCTTTGGAGACAGGGAGAGAGGATGGTGAGGGAGACACACTTTTTCAAAGAGTTGTGTCACATCACCTGCATAACAGTATTTCAGCCCACTGAGATCAGAACAAACACAGGCAGTGTCAGCTAACCTAAAGTGAAAAGGAAAACCAAACTCTACCAGAAAGCCAGGACAAGAGCCAGGGAATACAGAGGTTGTTCTGTGTAATACCACTGGGATCACTGAGGCAGTTTACGGAGCGTTAATGTGAGCATGCAGCATGTCACTGGAGGACACAGAGGACGTTGCTGCAACTGTTGAACATTCAGACAGATACTATTGTGCTGTGATTGTGTATGTCTTGCGTGTACATGATTGATAAGTGTTGTGAATTTTCCATAGGAAGTGGTTTATCCCTGCTACCTCCTGTCTAGGCAGTGTCTAGCACAAACTAAAGCCACCCCCTCTCCCTGTGCTCCTGCTGCTCCACCTTATCCTCATCCTCTACCTCCTCCTTCTCCTCTTCCTCCAGGCTCCGAGCTGTAGAACAGACTCATCCCTCACTCTCCATCGCATGGAATAGTACCATCCTCGCTGGCACGTGAGGGCACGGGGGTGCCGAGCTCATCCACACACCAGCAATGGCCACGCCGCATGCCCTTAGAGGAGCGGCACTGTGTAGGTTTGGAAAACAAAGAGACGGGTTTTAAAAAGGAAAGGAGGGCAGTTGGAAAGGTGGTGAGAAAGGAAGAGAGAGAAAAAAAATGATATGTCATCATAGCGCAGTACTGATTCTTTGTCCACGCAGCTGACAAGCATAGAGGGTGAAGTGACAGTTACTTTTAGAAATACAATTTTACAGTGTATAACAGAAATGCAGCGAAAAGTTTCAGATTTATATTTAACATGTTCCAGGTACATATTCTACCTGCTTTTTCCTGTAGTAGCCACGGGTGTCACAGTTGGGTATATAAATGTCACGATCAGACTGGAAGATTGTCAGCTCCAGACCCCTTAGGACACTATTGAGCAGCTTACGACACGGTGCCTGGAGACAGAAAATTGCAGAGTTTGACGTTAAACATCACCAGGCAGATAGAGAAAATGTGTCTAAATCCCTGCATGAAAATTCTGGCGGAATTCCTGGAGGACAGAGAAAGGAGTATGTAATCTATATATATTAGATGTCACATATTGTATGACATTATGTAATATCATAATGTTACACAATGCTTTTTTTTTCAGGTCACCGGATTAAGTGACTGTGCATTTTTGTGATACTCTGGAATATTAAACTGTGATCATTTCTGTAACAGTGATGATCTCATCGCCACAGTCAGTGCTGCAGATCAGCTGGCTTGCAAAGTGAAAAGATCTGCGGCCAGAGCTGCAGACTTGAAACTTTTCTGATTCGCATCATGCTCATTAGTTCTGCCGCATAGCAGCGAACACATCATGCACCATGATGCATGGCTTTAGAGCACTGTGTCTACATGTTACTGCAACACCCAAACCAGCTGAGCGTCTGTTACTGTAGCAGGATTATATGCTACTTAAGAAGCAGTGCATACTTTTCCTTACATTTAATGTGTATTTTTTTAATACTCTCACAGATAGGGATGACTGAACATTATTTAACTATGAATCACCGACTCATTGAAACACTGAGGAATTGAAGCACAAACTTACTTTTTCAATGTCACCACTGTGTGAAGGATCTGGACCTGAGAGGAAATCACATATCGGTGTGAGAATTCGACATCAAACGTTTAAAGCACTGAACATCAAACATGTCCAATGTCACATTCTTTAGAGTGATTTCTGTCACATTTCTGAAGCTGCAAAGATAATGTACATGCAGAGCTGGTGAGAAAAGACCTAATTTCTCTCTGTATGTCCTTCTTAGAGTTAATCGCAGTGTCTCTGGTTGAACAGTAGATGGGGATCATTGCCATAAAACACAGCTTGACCATGCTGTAGGTGACACTGCCACAGTTTCCCATTCCCCAGAGTCTATGACCTGCAGGGCTGACCATTTCAGGCTCATTGGTCAATTTGATGGACTGATGAATAAAAGTCACTATGAAGGCAAGTAGCTGCACCATGACTTGAAAACTGTTGCTCTTTGATTGCTGGTTACAAACAGCAATCATGATAAGGTTATTTTCACTGTAATCATTTCTGTATTCCCCCCCCCCCCCCCCCCCCCCTCCCCAAACTGTGCGCCTCACCCCTCCACCGCTGCACCACTGCACTAGCTGCACCATGACTTGAAAACTGTTGCTCTTTGATTGCTGGTTACAAACAGCAATCATGATAAGGTTATTTTCACTGTAATCATTTCTGTATTCCCCCCCCCCCTTTTTGCCTTATCAGAATGATTTCAGAGCCACTGCAGAGCCGTACAAAACTGCAAATTCATCTGGAGCGCACAAAATGCACCCAGGCTGAAATATCAGCCACCAACTGCTCCTTCTTTCTTTGGTGAGTGACACAGCATCACATACAATGTACAGCTATACAAGAGGTGTACCTTAAAGAGGTATCTTTAACACAGCTTACATTTAACATTTGTCTACCCACATGTTTAATACATCCATAAGTGCATGCATGCAGACACATATCTATATGTGCATATGTGACACCATGCAAGTGTGTCTATACAGTATCTTACCTGTGGGAGGTGGCCTCTCAGTGGGACTAGTCCTACTGTGTTTGGAGCAAATGCCCCGTCCCTGCAACAAAGCCTGAAGGGGGCTGTGTTCCCTTGGAGGGGGAACACAGCGGAGCCCTTTGGCACAGCTCAGTGTGTATACACCACAGGGCTCTCCCTGGGCCAACACTGTCGTGCTCACTGCAACATTATGGTCCCTGGGGGGCCGACCTGCCCCCAGTGGATCCCTGCAGGAAGGGCAGACCTTGAAGGGCCCCAAGCGATTTGCACTGCTCCAAGATCCGCAGTGGGCAATCAGCAACAAAACAATGGCTGTTAAGTTAGAAAGAATAGGCATTTTCTGTCCAGGTCTCAGGTTCTTCACACTGTCACTCTTTGTCAGTTAAATGTGGATAAATCTATTTATGGATATTGAAATTTTGTCCCTCTCTCACTCTCTCTCTTACTCTCTTCCTCCCTTTTTCCTCCCTTCTTCTTTGAATCTTCTGTCCGTTTCTATACAGTTGCCTTCTTTGGTGCTTTGCTCATTGAGTCCCCTGCAGTGTTAGAGGAGACAAATGGAGATCGAGGGAGACAGAGCAAAGCACCGGCTTTTAAAGATCTGAAAGGCGGTGATAGAGTGAGGAAAAAGAGAGAGAGAGAGAGAGAGAGAGAGAGAGAGATGAAGGGGGAGGGGAGGAGAGGAGAGGAGAGAGAGAGAGAGAGAGAGAGAGCACCGTCAGTTATGACACCTTCAGGGGCTGGGACACAGAAAGAAAAAGAGGGAGAGAGCGAGAGAGAGAGAGAGAGCAGATATGGCACCTTCAGGTGCTTGTGGATTATGTTTCTCTTCAAAATTAGAAAAAATTCTCCACTGTCTGTTTTATATTTTTATTTAATCACATATACATCCAGCCATTGAACTAACACTTATTCTCAACGCTGCACTTATGTTAATAACACATATACTGTCCAGATATTTGCACTTTATTTCCACTGTCAGAGACCTTTCTGGAACACAATTTACCATGGTAACAAAAACAAATGTATATGTGCCTCTCTCAGCTTCTCCACTGCAGTGTCATTCACTGCAACAAAAGCACAGTGGTGGCTTTTCTCTTGCTTGAATTCAATAAAAGGTTATGACAGAGAACACAGACTATCCTGAGCAACATTTTTTTAAAATGCCGAAGGAAATGTAATATAGGATAATGATAGATGAATTAAATTGGCAGCAAATTTCAACAGAACTATAATAATGTATCGTGTGTAGCTCTGTTTATTGCATGACAGATCGACCGAAACTGTCTTAGCTCAATTAAATCACTGCTGAGTCAGAAGGTCTGATTCAGTCTTTGTTACAAAAGTCAGCTTCATTACATTACTAAGGAGCTGTCAGATATTGACTTATCGCTGAGTTTAATGGACCAGATCACATGACAAGTTATGAGGCAATGGAAACTATTATACAGTGAGAATCTGCACAACTGGAACCTGGATGCGAAGATAAATTTGCAGAAATAAACAAACATGCAGATTCTTAGATTTTCTAGGCAGAACGAAAGAATGTCCTTGCAGCCATGACGTAAAATGGTGCAGTGTGTGACTCTGTACTGAATATATTCTTGCTTCTGTCAGATTTAAAACTAATTCTTTGACCTAACTACTGAACTCATTATAAGGACACTTGAGTAAAAAAAAAGTATGATTTTTTTCAACTTAAAAGGACACCATATGGTCGTTGACTGTCGTCTGTTGGACTGTCGTGTGTGTGCGTAACTTAGAAAGACACCATATGGTCGTTGATTGTCATCTGTTGGACTGTCGTGTGTGTGCGTAACAACAATAAATGAAAGACATAAATTGAAAGCACATGAAGATGGCTGGTAGAGTGCTGAGGAATGAATTCCTCTCTTATCTCCAGCCCCATTGTCTCCAGTGTTATCTGTTCTGGCCTCAATGCCACGGCCTACAGGCAAATAGAAAATACGCAGAATAAATTCTCTGTATTAATAATAACTTTAATTGAATTGTTTTTTGTGTGCAGTGTAAGTCTTGAAAATATATTGTAAAATCCAAATATTAAAAAATGTAAGGAGATTAAAGTGGGCTGCAGCAACAACAGGTGAATGTGCACAGAGCAAAGGTTAGAGAAGGTGTATGTGCTGAAAGTGTTGGCTCAATCTACCAAAGCAGTGGATCATTGATAAGAGACATAGAGGAGGCTGCAAGTAGGATACAGTTAGATGGATTTGACTCCTCCTTAAAGGAACAGTCCAGGAAGAAGGTTAATTAAAGAAAATCGTTAGAAAAATAGTTTTATGATTGCTAACTAGCCTAACGTTAGCATCCTCTCTCGTTCTTCTTTCTCACTGCATGTATAACAGTGCCGTCCATTCCTTCTCATGTAAGATGTTGTACCACATGGGATTCCCTTTTCCGTTGTTTCAGCCTCCCCTATAAATGCCATAGTGCCCCCTTGAGGGAGGTATTGTTCATTCCACCAATAAATTAGAAATGCACAATATTTAAAAAGGTTACCACCTGCGTTACGTTATTTTTCTGTTTTTCTTTTTGCACTCTCATCAAACTAGTCAGACTCAATAATTTGCAGGTTATTGGGGTTGACGAGTGATGCAGTGATGAACAAAATGTGCTGCATGTGTGAATAGTTGCCTGGCACTTGGTCACTTCCTCCTGAAGCACTGCAGACATGACAGAGTACAAAATCGTAGCCAGTGGCCTGTACTGTTTGGAATTCAGTGCTGCCTACATGAGGCCAAAACCTGCCTCGCCATCAGCAGTGTTTTGTTCTGATTAATCCTGGCAACGAGAGCAGAAATCACCTGCTGTCTCGTGTTCCCATGAGTTGTGAGCTGCAGCACAGTCTGTTTCCACATATCAGGATAATGTTCCAAGACTCACGCCAGACCAACAGGGGCTCTCTTTTCCACACTGCCCTAGATAATTCATTTTTCCTCCTTCAGGCTGCCACATGATTTCTTCCTCAGTTTGTTTCTCCTCTCCCGCTTTCTCAGGTCTTTCCCAGCTCTCACTGCAGCCACTGATTCTTTTAAAATAGCCACCGCTCATTTAACTCAAGTAATACAAAATCACTGCACTTTGCGTGTTTGTTGTCTCTCAGTGAAGTTTTTTGCACATAAGAATGCCATGTTATGGAATAAACTACATTAACTTGGCATAAAATAATGCTTTACAGCATCTTTTTTTAATGTTTTTGCCAAATTTTAGATTTAATTATATGGACTTATCTGAGGGTTTGTGCAATAGGATAATGGTTTCCATTTCCTGATGGCTGAGTGAGTTTGTGTGTTTGGCTTTTCCCAGACTAAACATAAGATCTGGATACATTTGTCACCGAGAACACAGACAGCAAAAACTAAAGGTCATCACACTGACAATTTTGTCTTAAAAATCAGTCTGAACCCAGGATTAACACTGACACAAACTACTACTACTACTACTACAACCACCGACGCATATGCACGTGCACATATTTGTTACTCAATTTTATTGGTACTACATATGTAACTCCTAGTCTTACATAATCCTTAAAACAAACCTAACTAATCCTAGCTACAGATTTAACCAACCCTTTACTTGTAATTTCTACCCTTAAAATTAAGTCTTCAACCTAAAAATGCCTTTGGACCAACAGGGACCTGTAAAGTGACCTCACAATGTCAAGATGTTTGGTTTTAACCAGTAGTTTTAGTATATCCAAAAATTAAATGCTCTTATTGCTCTCTGAGGGAAACCCAAAGACACAATATTATCCTTAACTTATTCCAATAAATGCTTCACCTTAATCTGTATATTAATTTACCTCGGCAGAACACTAACACTGACCTTAACGAGACGAACTCACACTATGCACACACACACTGAAAATGCTGGTGTTACGTCCCAAACCTATGATTGGCTAGGGCTGGGAACACTTTGTGACGTCACAGGAAAGCGCCGAACTATAGTTATGTAGGTTTGATGTGGCTTTAACGGGCTGATGACAAAGTGGGTTCTTAGTCCGATTAGACGGCTACCTCTCAGGTAAGAGGAAACCACCGGGGGCGTATTTGTTCCGTGGGTCCATTTTAAAACGCTCTACATTAAACAGTAACAGAGAGAAAGCCTCGGCTGTCAGGAATTAGCTTATCTTATTAGCCGCTGCTGATGCTAAACCAGTGACATACTGAGCTTTCGTCATTAACGACGTCAGACTGACACTGTTTTGCTGTTTAATGTGAAAAGCAGAGAAGAATTGACGTTAAAGAGCAACCCTATACCCTATTCCAGAAACACTCCTTGTTGCCCTTCTCGTTCAGCATCCCTGACATGGAGATGTGGACTGTGTTGACAGCGAGAGCTGCATGTAAACTTCGGCACGCCCACCTTTTAGACCACTGTCTTATTGAACTACATGCGTATTCCACAGTAACTTGAAAAAACAAAAACAAAACAACAACACTGCAAGCGAGTTAAGATAAAAACCACCGCAAAGAGTGTGTTAGAATTAAATATAATGTTAAACAGAAATTGTTTATCACAAAGGTACATTTATTTTTTAACAAAATCTGTTACTTTAAGGACATTTTTTAATTGTAAAATTGTTTATTGATATGACAAGATGAACAGCAATGCTTTTGTACTTGGTAATTTATCTGAGGGCAATTACAATCAACAACTAATTCTATGCAGAGTGTTTTGTTCTGCTTTTAAATCGTCTGATTTCTTCTATCAGATGGATGCCATCAACATTCTACACCAAAGAGCCCTAAATCTTAGGCGGCGGATGAGAGAAATTGAAGATGGTCGCGCTGCACAGGAGCGATTAATGAGGTTGCAGAAGGAAGGAGACACACTCAGGTCAGCTTGATGAAAGCTTTCATACCAATTTCAATTGTAGACATATGATACACATTATGAAATATTAATACCTGTCTAAGCATGCCTTAACACAACACCCCACAATGCTGTGTTGCTGTCGTCAATGCTGAAATATTTTAATGTTGTTTCTTGTGTTACTTTACTTAATCATAGAGTAGGTTGACATATATTCACATCAACATAGTCATTATCCATATACTTACAGTAGTTAGAGAGTCACTCCATGACTTTTCCATGTGTTTTAATGGTTTGTTGCTGTGTAAGCGACCACACGAACAGTAAAGAGTCTGTAGTGTGTCCACGGCATGGGTTTTTATTTCTCAGATTAAATATAGTGGTCACTTAAGACTGTGACTGTGGTTTTGTTTAATTCCACAGTTTGTGTCTGTAAGTTCTGTAGGTGAGTCCAGGCACAACAACCGAAATCAGTGGCTGCTTCGTACATTTATTTATATATCAATTATTTTTATAAAAATGTTAATATTGACAAAACTGAAGAGGTGAAACATCTTCAAGAAACCTTCTCTGTCCAGTTGCCCTCAGTGTAACTATTTTTGGTCAATATTGACCATATGTTTTGTTTGTTATTTCCTGTCACAGGATACCAGTAGATTTTTACCCATCTTTAACATCTTTTTTAATTTCTTTACAAGGATAAAGTCATACATGACTTCTTCTGTTTCAAATGCACTGCTACGTTGCAGACATCTTTTTTCATATACATGTACAAAAGCTTTCAGATAAAAGCTTTCAATGTATGATGTATGGTCAGTATCACAATGAATTAAAAATTAAAAAATGCTTATTAAAAAGATACTCTAACCAGCCAGACGAGTGATAAATATTTCTATTTCAAGATGATGTCCTTACGTAATATTGCATCAAACAAGATAATGATGCAGCTGTTACGGCTTTCATCTCAGGAACGTCTTCATATCCCCACAGCTTCTCCTGCATATTCCATCTCATTAGTCATAAATGCCTCAAGTATTTGGATTCAGAAACTATGTGGTTTTCATCTTAGCACAGCGGAGATAAACAGCCTGAGCCGTGAGATGCTGTGCAGCACAGTCAGGCTCAGGCAGCACTGGGTGTTCATCTGTGCTTTGAGGTCTTTAGTATATTTTCCACACTGTGCACATCTCCCACAGTTGGGTTTGTTAATTTGGGGTGTTTTTTTTTTTTTTTTTTTGATTGTGCCAACAACAGTTGAACCAGAGAGAAGTCGTCATTTGTTTACCTGCACTTTTTTCCTTTTAGTTACCAAGGGAACTCAGAAGAAGTGGGTTGCTATGTTGCAGGCCATCCTTTATCAAAGAGAAACTGCTACTTTGAGGTAAGGCAGTGGGAAACCGATGCTGCACCTGTCCCTGTTAATGTACTTTAAATACTCCTAGACTCCTATGACCATTGCTTTCTGTGTTTGTGTGTCATAGTTCATATGGCCATCAGAAACCGTTGTCTAAACATTGATATGGCCAGAATTGCTCTTTCCAGATGGTTATTTTTTTCTCCTGGAATCTTGTTGCTGACAGTTTTCTCAATTTCTTATATTTTTCAGTGATTCCCACAATCCCAGTTTAGTGATAAACCACTGCCGCAGAAATGTTTCAGTTCCATTGGAATGTGGGATCTTAGTAGGGTTAGGTGTGTCTCTGAGTGCAAAGATATGTCACACTTTTATTTAGCCCATGGGGAAAAAAATAGGCTGGGATCTTGTGACTGACATTGTTTGCTCAACAATGTCTGAATTAAAACACATGCTAACATGCGGAATATCCGGTTTTACTGTCTTAAACACAGTGTGTGACATCATGTCTTCTTTGCAATGAAATGAGACATCAGTAAAACAAAATCACAATAGAGCAAACGGGCTCTGCAGTGTGTACGTCGCCAGGTCTGTTTTAATAACATCCTGTAGGACCTTGCGGTATCAGCACCTTTGGCATTTTTTCTGTAATGGCTTTAAGGACTCCCTTATTTTTGCCAGATGTGACATTTCTTCCTAATGTGATGTCAACGTCTCATGTGACCTCCAGGTCTTTCTCTCTTTGCTGCCTCAACAGGCAAACCGTCAAAATAACAATGGTTATAATTAAATGAGAATCCCATTTGGAGCTTCATAGGTCTCTCTGACATTTACACAGGAGGATTTTAGTATGGTCATTACCCCGAGTTTCAAAGCAGCATTTTTCTCTACTCTGTGACGCACATGCTGTCAGTTTCCCAGATATCTCAGAAATTTGGGAGCAGTTATTTTCATAAATGTCAGGCTTCTGTCGACATATGCGTCACTGCTAACCTCATGCCTCTTCCTTGTTCTGATTTCACAAGAAGCCCGTTTCACATTTGTTGCCTCTGCTCCTTCACTTTCTACCATTCTGTCTCCACATTTTTGCAACATTACAACTTTCTTATAGTTTTGTAGTTAACAGGCTCATCTGTAGAGTTGATTTCGGCTCATTCCTAATGAGCAATGTCATGTGTTTTTGCCTGCTTTGTAAGGACATTCACATTTTCTACATGTTTGTTTGTGATGCTGGTGAACGGCCAAAGCAAACAGTTGACTTATTAACAAAGCACAAGTGTTGAGTAATGAACAATCCCTCAAATGACAGCCTAAAAGGCATCAAGTGCTGTAAAAACACGTTTGCTATACAGTACTGTACTTTAGCACTGCAGTCAGTAACCTCCATGTTTTAGTCACAAGTATAATTAACTACAATTCATGTTTTCTGAAAGGAAGAAAAGCAACAGAAACAACACTGTTTATTAATGCACTGGAATGTGCGCTGCTTTGTTATACATAGATATTATAACAAAGCATATGATTTACCAAGTGGCCCCTGCTGTTAATAGGCCTTGTTAGAACGCAGGTGTTAACACTGTAAAGGTCACGCAAAATAACAGCAGATGCCATATTTGGTCTAACAGTTTACATGTATCATAAGTGTTGTATAATCTACTGGAGGCGGTGTTTTCATGAGAATATTTTACCACACTATTTTTCAGGTCTGTGCATTACAACCACATCTCATGTATAGACATTCCCTGAACTTAGAAATCTGATCTGATCTTAACGCCCTGTGAACCAATTCGCAGCCTTATGGACCTCTATACACTTTGTGATTATAGCATTTTTATTGCCAAATTTTGTTCAACGTTTGATGTGTGCATATTGTGCGTTGACCATTTACTGAATTGCAGGTAACGACATATGTCACAATGCAACGTCGTCAGCGTACGTCTTTCTTCCGTAGACATTTTCTATATAGAATGATTACACATATAGACTGAAGTAAAAAGTGCCGCCCATTCCTCCTCTGTGAGTGTTTGACTGATGGGGTTAGATGCAGTGAATAATTTTCCCAAGTTGAATACGATACTGTAAAAAATAAGTGTCAGAATATTTATTAGCATATTTAAAAAGATTAGCACTGTTGCACATCTCATTATGTGGTAAGAGACAAATCAAGTGTATACAGTCGGTGGAGGGGTGCCTCCATAAAGTATATACAGTAGTAGCCAGGCATAGTTAACTTGAATTTTCCACTGAAGGTGCAACTTTCTAAATATTCAGTGTAAAATATAAAGCCTGTGTCTTAAAGACGGGCTCTAATTATATGATAAGCTAAATAACTTTGGCCGTGGTTGCTGTATTTACTGTGTGTTGATTTTGTGTGTAGGTGACCATCGTGGACACAGGGGTGAGGGGAACCATTGCTGTGGGCCTGGTGCCTAAATTCTACAGGCTGGACCACCAGCCTGGCTGGCTGCCATACTCTGTAGCTTACCACGCTGACAACGGCAAGTAGGTCAAACCACAGTCTTCTATACACTACATTAGAGCATTGGTTTATTGCATGGTTTGAAAAACAGATTGTCACTGACATAAAATGCTCTTGATAGAAAATAATGACCCATAAGATCCAAGTTTAGTTTTTTTTTATTATTTTTTGTCTGTGTTTGATAAATCATATTATGCAACATTGCAGCAGAAAACTAAACATTTCATGTCACAATTCCTGCAGTAACTTGATTTTTATGACCTGTATTTTTTTAAATAACGTAAAGCAAGGACAACATATGCATATCCATTTAATATTTACTCAGATAATATAAAACATTAGAAGGTTTACATTGAGCTAAGTGCAATGCAATGCAATGCAATGCCAAAATCCTTACTTGCGGGTTACTGTAGGTGCCTGCACCCACAACATGCCGCTGCAATATTACACAGATGCGTTGTACATTAGTAGACCGAGGCAGGAGTGTGTTTACATATTTGTTCCAGATTGTCATCAGAAAAGACCATATAATGAGGTTAACATATGTAAAAAGAAGTCCTGTGAGACAAAGGATTAGAGGTCAGACTGCAATCAGCACTGTGTTTGTTTCAGAAAGCAGCACTCAGTAACGTCTGTGTTTCATTTTTCTCAAGGTTAAGGACATGAGCTGCTTTCAAAGAACAAAACAGGCCATTTTCCGTTGTTTCAGAGGCATTAAGTGTTGGGTAAATACCTGTATTTCACAGCAGAATATTTCTTTTTCTCTCCCTTTGTCCAAGGTTATATAATGGCAACCCTGTGGGGCAGCAGTTTGGACCAAAGTGTGCTCGGGGAGACCGTGTTGGCTGTGGAATACTTTCAGAAAATACCGAGGCAGGCTCTACCACAGTTTTTTTCACCAAAAATGGCCAAGAGGTACAACAGGCATCGTGATCTGGAAATGTTGGCTTTGTTGGCTCATGTCATATTTTTCTTTGGTTGTGTTGAAATCAGGGATGAATTGATTGATACCTTTTTCTAAGCACAAAACTGGTAGAATTGGGAAATATTGTGAAAATGGCACAATGTTGGTTAGAAATGTACAGTGCAGGGAATAGAAGGAAACATCAAGGAAGCAACAAGCTCTTATTCATTTTTAGGAAACAAAATCTTTGAAGTTCACCACAAGTCAGTTATCCATTTAAATGACCCTTTAGAGCTGCAATAAGGCATTGATTTAACAGAGCATTTAAATGTAATGACAGTTTTGGTTCATCTGCCTTTTGTCCAGGTGGGTTCAGTGGAGGTCCCTGTGCTGGCAGAAGGGCTTTTTCCTGCTGTAGGGATGCACTCCATGGGGGAGGAGGTGAAGGTTGACCTGCATGCAGAGTGGTTCCTGGAGGAGGATGATAGCATGATGATGGTTGACAGCCATGAAGATGACTGGGGACGGCTTTACGATGTCACAGTGAGCGGCACGGTAAGAAGCAGATTGCATCCAGTTTTTGATTCTGAAATCCCTCTGTTCTGTGTCAGGTACCTTTATGTTTGTTTAGACTAGTAACCTGCACATTAAAGATGTGGATAAAATAACACGCAGACTACTTCAACAATATAAATGCACAATGAAAACAATGAAGGAAAGTTGCTCCAATGAAGCTCAAAAAACATGCAGTTTTTCAACAGCAGGTATCATTATTGCACTACATCAATGAAGCTCAAAAACATGCAGTGACTTTTGCTTTTTCACATGAAGTTCCTTATGAAAACAGTGATGTCCAGAGTGATTTTCTTTTTTTTTTACAGCAGGTATCATTATTGCACTACAGTTCATTTCTGAAATTCTTGCAACTGGTTCGTTGACACTAATAAAATACATGACACAGAGATCAAATGATTCTATATTGATTTATATATGAATTTTTCAGTTCATATTAACTGAATAACTAACTGTTAAAGAAATGATTTTGATCAGTTCATCTAATCCTGGAGAATCGTGCAACAAATGCAGCTAATTGCATTGTATCCAAAGCATTTGTGTCTATAGCTTCATGTAGTTAGTGCTTGACACCATTAACGGTTAAAAAAGAAAAACTGGAACGGGTCAATGTAGTCCTTGGGCATTTGTTGCCAATTCCTTTTGTTTGTTTTGTAGTCGAATCATTCAACTACATGCTCTTTAACAAATCTCTCTTTGTTGACAGCAGTATTAAACACTTCAGGGAAGGCTGTTCCAAAAGCATTCATTTAAATTTGAGTTATTTTGTCTCTGACGCTGTATCATCGTGGCGTGTCTGGATTTTGGTTCCTCTAAGTTTGTTTTTGCAAACGTCCCTGACGTCATCACAGGGATTTTCCTGCACGTTTATAGACACCCTGTTTAAAAAACAAGATAAACAGCAGGCAGACCGTCAGAGAGGACGTCGAGTGTGTTGTCCTTCATTCCCTCTTTGGCGTATCGTACGATGAGATTAGGCAACACAAATCCAAGACACACAAGACAAATCTCGAGATGTGTTTGATTTATGGCGCCTCCGTCACCTCCGAAAGGCTGCCACATGGTAATCATTTCAATTGAAGTCATAATTTGTAGTGTGTCATTATGTTATTATACGCCGATTGAACCTAATAAATTGTAATTAAACAGAACTCACACACACACACACACACACACTATGTGAGCTGTCTTTTGGAGAATGTAGTTGTCTAAAAACAAGGTCTTAATTTGTTTGGGGATTTCATGAATACATGTTTTGAAATGTTTTGAAATGTTAATCCAAAAAGGAAGTAAGTCAGGAGGTTTTTACAAATGCTTTTATTTAAAAAACAGGGGAAGACTTCTATGTGAAAATACCAGAAACATTAAAAGAACACCATGTACAAGAAAGTGTAGTACTATCTTTCAAATTAACATATTTTATTATATATATATACACCTGATTTGTTAAACTTTACTTCCTACAAATCCAGTCCATAAAAGTTTGCACAATTTAAAAAGTACAATAAACAGTAAAGTTTATTATTTTATAATATACTTATAAAACATTTACTGTTTTATAACTGACGGAATTAATGAAATCTGTTGAGTAGAAGTGTATACTGACCAAATTAATGAAATCTGTTGAGTAGAAGTGAGTTAAAAAAAACGCCTCGTGGAGCATAATAAAAGAGTTCAAGGCTCAGGAACATTTGTCCGTGGATCAGGTCAGCTTTTGTTTTAATTACAGTCGAATCGTTTAGAAACTGAAGCAAATGTTAAAATTGTCATTTTGTCCGTCTGGTTTGGTGTCATTCAGGTTGTAATGTCTGTGTTAGACTGTGTGACTGTGTCAAGACATTTCTAAATTTGTTTCCTCACAATTTACATCTCAAAACATCAGGGCAGTCATTGCAACACCACCACAGACGTCCAATTCAGTGTGAGTGAGGTCCTCCTTGACACAGTCATTACAGGCAACAAGAATAATGTGTGGCACTGCACACTGCAGGATTTTCTATTCTATTTTCTCTGTTCACTGTAATTACCTCCTGCAAGCCTGATCAGGTTTGTAGTTTTTCACTGTCAGGTCAGGATAGTTTTTCACCTGGTGATACAGGGATGAAGTTTTTTTTGTTTTTTTTAAGTGAAATGAAGTTTTGCTTTCTGTTTCTAAGCAACATGATGTCTGTCTTTCTCGTGTCCTGGTGAATTTTCTCTAAAAATTCCGTGAATGATTCCACATGCAAAAGCAAGGATGTCTGTGCTTTGTTAGAAGACAGGGTTTGATGCCAGTGACAGCAGTCTACAAATGTGATGTATAGGCACACACACACACATACATACATACATACATATATATGCATATAATGGAAGTAATCTTTAGTTTTAGTTTAGTTTTTTTTAGTTTTTGTTTCTTTTGGTGGCCGAAACTCTTACTCAGTGGTTGGTAACGCCTGAGAGTGGGGCGAAGTTTAAATTGAGGGCTGTTTTCTCAGACACAGACTAAACTATGATTCAAGTAGCTCATGTCAACCGCTTGAATAGAGTTCATTGTTAGAAACAACTTTGTCATCAGATGTATCATGCTGCATTCCACCACTTTACATTAGTGAACTGTAACACCTTTGTTCTGTGTTGAGGTGTGAGCTTCCATGAAACCCCCCCCCCCACCCTTCCACCCTCCTACCTCCACCACCACACAGCCCTTCCTTCTGCCACCCTCCCTTCCAACTTCAAAAAGTAACCACAAGACTACAGACTGGTCTCCCAGCGGTGCAGGAGAGATGAAGGCCAGGCTGTGTGTGGGTCCCTCATGTGGTTGTGTGATAAACGTGTCTGTCTTCGGGTCATACACAAGCATCTGTCACACACACAAACATACAGCACAGAGGCCATCGTGGTACGTGAAAGCTGAGTGCCATGGGTGAGAAGAATGATTCAATCAACAGTCCTGTTTTCCGTTTTTCTGTCTGTTTCTTTTCTGTTTTTTTTCTTCTGTTTTTCCCGACCAGAGAGTAGCAATGGCATTAAACCTACTCTAGAGCCAAGTGTGTGGCAGTCCACCAGGTTGTAAAAATTCAATAAGTGGAGTAACGGGACTCTAAGGAATCTTTTACTCTTTCTCATGTGGTTGGAGGTTTTCACAGCTGGGACGCTCGGCTGCACAGTTGCCTCAACTGTCCAACAGTGATCTGTTCTTTCTCTTTTGTTCCATTTTCTTTGCTTTTATTTCTGTTTTTCCCCCTAATAAGCAAGTAACCATTGCCCCCCCAAGTACTGTGATGTGGTCAGCATTGTGAAGGTGATAATGTTGTCAAGTTCTTACAAGTTCACCCTGGATGCTGAAAAGAGTGTGTGTTGAGTTGGAACAGTAGTTGTCCTGTAGTGACAGAGAAGGTCTAAGGAAAATCAAGTAAAGGAAAAGTAAAGTGATGCAGATGAAAGGGACGCGAAGGAGACGCGGAG